GTTCAAGTGGAAAGTCTATTCTTTCGCAGAGGTCAACCATTGTGTTTACCACGCTGGACGTCAGATCCTCTATGGGTTTGTCCTGCAAACATACATGTACATAGGAAACAAGTCACCAAGGGTACAGGAACAAGTATGCAGCATTTTGTACAACAAAATGTATTTTTATGCATTTCTTTTCTTTCAGTTTTATGTCTCTTGGGACATGATAGACAAACAGTTGTACTTACATGCAGCATCCTATTCACGTGGTTGCCCACAAACGTCCTGCTGTGGTACATCTCCCGCCTCACTTTGAAGGTCTTCATTACAGGTTCCAGCTTACTCGCCAGTGGCCCCTTTCCAGGCTTGACTGATGCCTTCGACAGGATCTCCTCTTCTTTCTTTCTCTGTATGCACAAAAAGCAGGATGGCCAAAATTATGCTTGTTGCAAATGTAACATTCCATTGTTCATTGATGAAAAAAATCATACATATTTACATGCTATTGCAGATTTTGCAGATTATGTACTTACCAGACTATCTCTTTTTCGCACAAGGTCCGAGACCATGGATGCTGCCTCAGCAAAGACGACTTCGGCCATCTCATCGTCGACTTGCATTTGGTAGGCCAGGAAAGCCAGCTGGTCCTCCTGTTCTTCGATGGTTTGGTCCAGTTCATCGGCCTCCAACCGGTACTTCTGGGCACCGTCGATGGCGTCCACGTATCGCTGGAATGGCCCCAGCTCCTGGTCCGCCATGATTTCCTCGCGGTTGTTTGGCTCGCTCAGGACCAGCATCCGTAGGTACGCTTGTACCTTTAAGTCCAGATCTTGCACCGCAGCCTCAAACTCCTGGTACAACCGCAGGAAGATACCAAGGCTAATATGTAAGCCTGGTACAATTGCCTGAAAATGATATTTTCAACAAGCATTAACATTTTTTTTACCTTGTTAAGGTGTGGGTAGCCCTTGGGCTCATGATTTATCACTGTAAACACTCTCTAAGCAGTCAGACTTAGTTAAGGTTTCTTATTGAGAATACTTAATGAAATTATCAGTTGTAGACTCAAACAACTTGTAGGTAATTAGGAAATTCTTTTGAAATTCAATGGTTTCAACTTGTTGCATCTGTTATAAATAAGAAGTTTGCCAAATACATGTACCGGGGGTATTTCAAATTTGCTAGCAGGCTGTGAATTTAATATATTTGGTCACCTGTTCAAGTGGGATGTCGAACAGTGGCGCCGCTATGATGTTTCGGAAGTCTTGCGCCCTCCTGAGTCTCCCCTGGCCTCGTTGGATGAAGTCTCTGGAAAATCTTCTCCCCATGTTGTCTAGGTCCCGGGAAGACGTCCGCAATGTTCTGTTGTCAGGATCATCTATCCCTGCCTTCGTGATCTTGCACCAGAGGCAGGGATATGTACCTGTTATACAACCAACAACATTGCTTATCCCATTTGGCTGTGTACCGTGTACTGCTCCCATGTTATTTAAATGAAACTGACTTGTTGCATTCGGTTTGATTAAAACTTAAACTGATTAAAACTCACCAGCTGCGCCTGAGATTCCATAGATGGTTGACATGTAGGCGTAGTCACCCGTCATCAAGATCTTGACCTGGTATGTTTCTCCATCCTCACTTCTGGAATAGTAGGTTGAGGCATATTTCAAGTATGACCTTTCCTATTATCTGTTTATACAGCGAAGCAAGTGCATCAGTCTAAGTTGGAAACAGACCCTTCCAGCCCGCCCTGAGCACATACAAGGTGAGACGAAGGACCCTTTTAGCAATCATGTCAACTGGATATGGAATGTAAGTACAATTGTATGATTGTTATATCACAAAAAAAAGGGTGTGCATACTTCCACATTTCCTCTTCCAGTTTCTTCAGGTCTCCTTTGTACCTTGCCAGGGCCGTCGTGATGTTTTCCCTACTGTCCTTCGACTCAAAAAGGCAAAACACTGATGTGTTGGCCTTTGAGTTTGGGTGCTTGATGTTCAGGGGCTGGAAGGCCATCTTGAACGTTGTCCCACCGTGATCCCCCCCAATCTTTAGCCAGATCTCTATTTCAGGAATTCCTCCTCTGTGCCATGTTAGTTTCCTGTAAAAGAAAGCAAACCTTGATTAAGGAAGAATATATAACTGTCCCTGTATACATGAAGGTAGACAAGGTCTTATGATGATATTACACAATGTTTCCTAAGGAACCAAACTTACCCTGCTTTCTTGCTCCTTTCCAGGAAGTCGTGGACGGCAGCCACCAGCGAGGAGAGGAAGGCACAAGGCCTAGGTTCGACTCTCTTTGTTCCATCGTCATCCTTCGTTGTAAACGGTAGGTTCTCAGCAACCACTGTGGTTGCTGAGAGGAGGTCCGCCGCGATTCTCCGTGACGTCTGTTCACTTTCAACAACTACACCATATTCTCTCATCCACCTGTCAACAAGAGGGTGAATTAAGATATCATGAATCTTTTGTGTTCTTACAGCTATTACATGTGACAAGATAACTGTATTACATTTAGATTTATATGGAGCAGTCTTAGAAAAGGAGGAGCCGTTCCTTTTGTGTTGACTTCATGCCTTTTATCGTAGCATTTGGGGCTTTAATAGAATGCCTAGACCTGTCTTCATTTGCAGTTTTATTTGTATTTTTTCGCCCTGTCGCTTTTAATTTTTCTGAAAAAATCTGAGAACCAACAAATTAAATTGGTGTGGCCTAAGACCTTTTTTATTAGAACCTTCCTTTCAAACTCTACCATAACACCATACTTGAGAGACAAATGTAAAGTCATAAAGATTTCTTTACAAAATCTGTTCCATACATGTGATGAAAGTAGTTGGTTCAAGAAATGATCAGCATGTACCTTCTCAGGCTCCTACACTGTCCCCAGTTTAAGTTGAGCCCTGATTTTGCTCCCAGCAGGTGGCCGTCTGGGATCCGGATTTGGGCGAACCCGCCTTCCTGCAGAACCTGGAGGAGCCGGTCCCTGGACAGCCGTTTCAGCTCCGCAGCCATCTGCTCCTCCCCCGAGCCACCACTGATCTTCTCTCTGAAATCGCTCACCCTCTGAGCTCGCTTCTGCAGTGTGGATGGTGCCGCTTCACTGGATTTTTTCTGGGACACTGGCACTTGTACAAAGTGTAGTGGCTGTACAATAAGAGAAAGGACATTGCTTACTTGGAAGTTCCTTGTACATGTAATTTTTTTATATGTACATTTCTCATGTAAAGAAATAATATTGGACAGAACATGTACATGACATCACTGTACATGTATTACCAGTATTTGCCAGTTTCATTTGTCAAGGTTACTTGTTCTTGGGAAGTAATGTTTCAGTTTCCTGTTTTATTTTAGGCTCAATCCAAGATAGGAATAATAGAAGGAAAGAAAAAGTAAGGAAAGGATCTTGGTGCATTTCATGCATGTTTTTTGAATGCTGTCACTTTTCTTGGCAGTTTTTGAGCCACAATGCCCACATTGATAAGAAAATTGTTTCTAGAATGCTGAACTGATATGTCTCATTGATAAGAATTGTTTCTTAAAATGCTGTATTGATGATAGACCAATGCCCACAATGATAGACCAATTGTTTCTAAAATGTTGTATTGATGTCTCATTGATTGAAAGCAGATTTTAAGCATACCTTAAACAAATGTAGTTTCTTACCTTGCCTCCAGTTTTTACATACAGTGCTTTGTCCACCATCTGCCTTTTGACCATAGCACAGAGTGCAGCTTGTTGGTCAGGTGTGAGTGGTCCTTCCTCGTTCAGGTCCACTGTCACTCTGTTGGATGTGACAGGACCACTCACACCTGGCTGGGGACACAAGGGGGCCGGCACAGCCACCGGCCAACACTGCATGCTGGGTGGGCAAGGTACAGCCGCAGGCTGGATACTGGGACAGAGACTTGCAGCCGCGGGCTGGATACTGGGACAGAGACTTGCAGCCGCGGGCTGGATACTGGGACGGAGACTTACAGCTGCAGCCGCGGGCTGGATACTGGGACGGAGACTTACAGCTGCAGCCGCGGGCTGGATACTGGGACGGAGACTTACAGCTGCAACCGCGGACTGGATACTGGGAGGGCAACATGGGGAAAATGCCGCACCCGGGGGCCCGAACTGGATGCCGGGGAGAATGGCAGCACTTTCCAGGCTGCGGGTTGGCGGAACGTGTATGAAAAGGGGGGGGTCGTGAACCACACTTGTCGTGACAGGTTCACATGCCGGCGAAGGATGTGTGTCACAGCTCTCAGTTGTAATACCTGACGTCTTAGTCTTTGGTTTCCCAGAAGACTTATTTATTGGACGCCGTCCCCCTCTTCTCAGTGATTCTACTTTAGAACAGTGAACACAGTCACTCCCAAAAGTATGGGGATACCAAGAGATTCTTTTGGCCCTGGATAATTTGGGAGGGTTATACAACCGAGACCTGCACTTGCGACAGAAAAACTTAGGATGAAGGTAAGGCCTGTCTCGAGCAACTTCGATTCCCCAAATTTCTTTGATTTTTGGAGCGTACAGCTCACAGTTTAGGGCAGACAGCTTCTTGTCCTTCTCAGCCTTAGTCAAATTAAATTCCCCACAGAATCTACACAGTCTATTGATGTTCTCAATGTGTGAATCAATACCCCCCCCAGAAGACATGATCCCACATATCCCTGTACAACTTATTGATTGGAATTAATAGATGATCAATTTGCTACGATGAGGTAAGAGAAGTCCAAGAAGCGTTCTGATGACAGCAATAAATCAAGTACTAGCTAGAAAAAATGACGAATTGTGGGCCTAACAAATATCGTATGTCACAACAGTGACGTAATGGGACTCGAAGTTACTCGAAGTACCGGTGTCGTAATTTGTGAGAAAACAAAAGCTATACGAAGAATAAACTATTGAAAGGAAACAAGAAACTGATGTAGTTTTGAGATCAAAATAATAGTATGGCAGCAAAACTGGGGAAGTAAGTGCAAAATGCACTAAAATTTACCGAAAATCAGAGCGGAGAAGTAAAGCCGGCAGTATCCCCTGTCACGACGGGCCGATAATGTTTATGTAATTTGAGCGGGAAATTGCCGGCGGGAATTGTTTATTGCGGTGGGCGGGGCTAAAACAGACCACACAGCTTATTTGGGCATGATTGACATCTTTATTACCAATCAGAAAGCTGTAAGATGTTCCTAGATACGCTCGTAAATATTTACGTTGTCAGGCGGCGCCGCCATCTTGGATTTCATAGTCACTACTGCGCAGGCGCAAACCAAGAACCCGGAAGTGCCGTATTTGAAACTGCCGTGCGAGCATATAGTGTCTAGTACTGTCTACTGATAGTACCGAATCATACAAAGCCTGCCATAATCCACATCATTACAAAAACCCTTACACTAACATATTGATGCTTGCCATGAAAGCTATGCCAAATAATTAGGCTTGCTATCATTCCTGATGTTTGACATATTTCTATGAACCTGACATAATCTATCACAACACCAGCAGCAATGCTAGCCATTTGTTTATTCAAAAACCAGTTTATCTTTGCTACTGCTGTTATTCTTTTGGCCACACAACAACAACACTCTAAAGTATGAAGTAAGTCACCCTGACACAATGTAGGGGCATGTCAGATGTCTTATACTGACATTCCGATCAGGTGACAGGATTCAAACCGTTTTCCGCTGCCAACACCCAAGAATTCCTCTGGAATTTGAATCACAAACCCAGACCCACGAAGCTGGAAAACGCCCCCATGGAACAACACATCTCTTGGGTTTCTCTACATCCAACTGACTGTGACTGGGGAAACGATTTCTGTTTGTCCACTTTTCATCTGAACCTTTCACTGTTAAATGTGTTCTTTTTCCCATTTCTCGATTCTGTTTTTCTTCCTCTTCCTTTTTTTTTTAATCCACACTTCTCACTAAGTAATCCTTGCATTCCTACATGCTTTTCTTTTTAATCACGCTCTGTTGTAATACCTATTTAACAGTTAAACAGTAACAGATGCAAAATTTGATAACTCTTTTCTCTGTCAAAACCAAAATAAAACCACAACCCCACCCCTTTCTTTACGCCCACTTCTTTACAGGATGACATCACTTCCTAAGACTGCATTGCTTACATTACTAACTATTGTCTCACACTGAGCTACATACAAACTAGGCTGCGCATACTGATATAACACACATGTTCTAGTAACATGAAAGCTGGGAAACATACACACAAACTATCAGGGAAACTTATTTGCAAGCCATTGCGAGTACCAATCTATTTATGGCACAGCAAGGTTTTTGTTTATGTTTATTTAGTAGATGTAAATAAAAACCCTGGCTGGCAGCTATGTAAAACTAACATAGGCCTCTTGTGGTGTTATCTAAAAAGATATTACCGCAATATTGATGACGTTATGACCGATATTTCAATGCGGAAATGGTCAGTAATGAGTTACTAAGCCTGGGGTGTGGCCCAAAATGACTCTTAGGTCAATCAATACACAAAAATTATACCTTAATGTTCAACATAAGAATAAAAACCTATTTAGTTAGCATAAAATGTGTTCTGATTGAGGATTATAATCGTCCATGGCAGGATCGTAACAATATTTAATTGAGTTTGAGGAGTTCTTTTGGTTGGATTTGCATAGGAATGCATGCTGTCATGGAGTCAGACAACTGGACTATTGCTGGACTTTAGACCGCCAAGAGCGCTACGATTGTAACAAATCGCAGTTGCTGAGCAGATGAATTCTTTTCAGACAAAACGATGGCATAAATGATTTGGTATTTCGAGAGAAGAATCGGCTGTGAATCGCTGATCGCGGTCCATTCAAGCCGGCACTAGTTCGCTACATGCAAATTATTATGTCACCCACCCGATCCTATAGTTTGGCGCCTGTTTTCTGAGCAAGAATTCAGTGTTATAAAGACTCTTACTACACAGAGATATCATCGATTGTGTACAAGTTAACCCAATGCGTGTTTAGGGGGTCCTAAGATCTAAAAGACAGTGTTTACGTACCTTATTTTGGACGTTTTTCTCCACTTTTCTCTCCAACTTCCCGTTCGTTTGGGCGGTGGCTGGACGGGTTTCCCAGCTATTCTGTCAGGGGCACTGGGTAGGTTTCCCTAATGTCAGACTTTAACCAATCAGAATACATCAGCGGGTAGTATTAACCAATCAATGCTGAGCACTAACCTTATAGTAACCAATCACGTTGTAGGTAACATGTCCCACTGACCTAGCAGTGTGTAGGAGCTATGATGACTATTTCTTCCGTTTTCATGACTTTCTTCACTTCCTACATCTTAAATGTAAACATTTCTTTGGTCGACAGGAAGAAGTGCTTATTCAGAACTACCTATGTAGTCAGCGGGTGGGTAGTGATTCCTCAGTAGTGGCGGTAAAGTACATTGTATTCCGACTAAGGTATACGGTTACAATTTGGCCTCATACCAGAGTTTAAAAGTGAATGAATGAATGAATGACCACTTGAAAACTTCTATTCTTGAATGAATGAATGAAGAGTAACCGTTAACGAAGATAACTGACACCTTCTTCATATATACAAAATATCAAGAATAGATAGTAACGTTATGCAGTGAACAGAAAATATTGATCATGTTGATGGTTGGTTGTAATATGTAAATTTTTGTGGGTCTGTCACAGTCTGATATATCAAGCTTTTCTGGCATGCAAGTCGTAATAAAGCTGGAAAAATCTGTTTTTTGTTTTGTTTTTTTTTGGTCGCGCAGCATTGCCACGAAAAATAAATAAATGGCATTTTCTTGAAAAATTGCATGTAGAGTAATGGTGTTAGCCCGCGGCAATCTTTTTTTCTCTCAGCAGAGAGAGTCAAACTCCCCTGGCATGTTATGATCTGTTATCTCTCTATTTGGCCGACTTCTACTCTTTCCAGCCGCCTTCCGAAGCCTGGTAGAGGCTATAACGGGGTTACTGTTTCTCATAGCAAAAAAAAAAAAAAAATTGCCTTAAATCTGGATCCCACAACACAACCAGCAGACAGCAATCACATTTTCCACCCCAAAAATAACTCAATGAACATAAAGCCGAGTAATTGAGTTGGAATAGGAAAAAAAGTCTGCTGGTGTAGGTAAGCAACCAAACACATTTAATCAGTCATATCAAGGAGGTTAAACTCCATGGTCATATACTGACATCAGGGGTCGGCTGGCCTGAGGAAGTTGGCAGGTAAGAAAAAACACCGACCCGAGACCATTTGCACCTGTTGCATATACAGAAAAATAGCAGATTATCCGCCAACCAAGACGCTACTGCGGTGGCACGCAAGTAAATTTTTTGTGATTGCCTTTCCAAATCGATAACCACACAGTAATACTATTATGTATTTTTATGTATCACGTAAATTACATATTTCGTATTAATTGTGATACCAATGATTGAACTCTACTTGACGATGTGCGAATGACTGTCCCGAATGTTCGAATCACACGATGATTGTTCTATTGCTGAATAATCTGCTATGTTTCTCCTAATGCAACAGGAAGAGCGTAATTTGTATGGTGTCACGGGGTGTCACTATTTACCTGTTAATGCTGTTATAACGTTAAAAACAACAGGTTTATGACCGGTAACTTTGCATTCTACATGTTCTAGGGATTGTTTACGACGGAAGCTTTGGGATGATACTGGAACAGCGGGTGGCGTGCACCTGTTTCGCCCTGGGCGCGGGGGTCGTGCTGGTACCGTTGATCACGCACTTCCACCTTCGGGAGTTGTCGGACCTGAGCCCGTACGGTGCCGCTCTGTACATCGCTGTGGTTAACGGGGTTTTACTGTTCATGTGCAGGGGATATCTGTATCAGGTAGGGCCTGTTTGTATTCGTGAACTGTCGTACCAAACTGTAACATGTCTTCCACGTCATGGTGAGATTTTGTGAGCACTGTCAGTTTAGATAGTTGAGTTACATGTCGCCAACATAAATTATTTTATTGCATTAGATTACGACGACATATTATAAAACTTTCTCCTGCGTAGCTGCCTCTAGATCTCTTGTCGGCGTTTGTCCAACAGTAGAACTGATTTTGGGCTGCTGTCATTTTCTGATATAACGTTACGAACCATCCCTCTGCCCCCCTCCCCACGAAATCACACACTGGAAATTAATGTGTATTCTGCGGCATCATGTTGTTTCAATTGCGGCAGGTGGCGGCAGGGACAGAATTTGAAGGAGTTAAGCCTTATCTAAGGCCGAAAGCTCCTATTTAAAGAATATTCCATCATAAAAAGTCGGGAATGTGACAGAGCAGACCATATGCAAAGGTAAACATTATGCATTTGCTTTACAAAAGTTACCTTTCTGTATTGTTTTTTTTTTACATTTCAGGTTGGTATCCGTGCATGTGGTCTGGGCCTGGCGTTCGGCCTGGGTCTGTGGCTGAGTGTGAGCACGGTGCAGTGGTACATGTTCGGCTGGTACATGTGTGCCCTCAGCTTCTTCCACTTCTCCGAGTTCATCGTCACCGCGACCTACAACCCCGAGTCTCTGTCTCTGGACTCCTTCCTGCTGAACCACAGTCTGGAATACGGTCTGGCGGCCGTCGCCAGCTGGGTGGAGTTTGGTCTGGAGGCGTGGCTATTACCAGGTCAGTCGTGTTTGTCTGTTTCCTTTTAGACATGACTGTTGCAGATGGACGTACATATAGAATACAACATGAGGTATTCTGTATCGCCCGAGGTACTAGTATTGGCCCGACAGCCGCAGGCGGGGGGGCGATCCGACTCGTGGCAGGGCCGTAACCGAGGGCGATGCGGAATACACAGTGTTGTATTTTATTTATGTCATACCCACCCACTGATACCCACCAAGACTGGCTTATTGCAACCAAGCTACTGTACAGCTGTCAGGGTTCCCACCCTTTTTGCCAGCTAGTTTCCTGGCCTCAGGCATGCATCTTTAAATTGTCTGTAAAATCTGATTTGTTCATGATCTGGTCGGTCTTCCTATAAGTATAAAGCCATGACAATTTAAATTGTTGGTTCTCAGATTTAGAAAAAAATGCTTTTTCTCCACAGACATGAAACAAGTGCCATTTCTGCACTATGCTGGCCTGCTGTTGGTGGTAGGGGGTGAGTTTCTGCGGAAAGCTGCTATGTTGACGGCCAAGTCCAACTTTAACCACATCGTACAGAGTAAAAAAGCAGACAGCCACACACTAGTGACCCACGGAGTGTACCAGCTCTGCAGACATCCCGCGTATGTCGGCTGGTTCTATTGGAGTTTAGGAACACAGGTAGGGGCTCACTGGTTACTTTGGCACAGAGAGGAGTGGCTTGTGTGTGTTCCTGTACAAGACTGTGCTTCTCTACATGTGTGTTTGGGTGTGTGTTCTTTGTGTGTATGTGTACAATTGTATGTGTGTGTTTGTGTATCTTTGTGTGTACTTGTGAATGTGTGCACACGCGAGTGTGTGTGGTGTGTGTGTGTGTGTGAGAGTGTGTGTGAGAGTGTGTGTGTATGTGCAATTCCCATGTAATATACACAATGCACTGTTGCCATGTCAGCTACATGTACACCAGGGCATCCTTGCATTTCTGCCAGTTTTGTTAGTACTAGTGCATTTATATCTGGATGCTACAATGCATTTCTGCCTAACTAAATGTTTGTTGTTATTTCCAGATAGTATGTAAGCCCGTGTATTTTATCGACTACACCTGGGCACTGACAATATCTGCCTAACAAGTTGTTTTTCTATGTAACCTGGTGTGTGTTGTCAGCTACACATAGGCATCCTGGTATTTCTGCCTAACTAATGTTTTTTGTTATTTCCAGGTGCTACTATGTAACCCCGTGTGTGTTATCGGCTACACCTGGGCGTCGTGGCATTTTTTCCGGGAGCGAGTAGAAGACGAGGAAGTGACGCTGCTAAACTTCTTCGGGGAGCAGTACCTGGACTACATGCAGCGTGTCAGCACCGGGCTGCCCTTCATACACGGCTTCAAGGTCAACTTCTAGAGAGTCGTAGCCCGGGTGCCAGCCCTTACCGCAAATGAGAGATAAACCCTTCGGCCAGGGAAGCCATACGCCCCGACGACCCCGATTTGCGCCCTGGCTCTAATTATCTCTTCGCGTGAAAGATAAAGGGTTTGGGGCAGCCTGGGCTTGGGTGGCGGATACAGTAAAGGACATTAGGGCTTCTTTCCACAAAAAAATCCATCGCTGGCACCCAGGCTAAGAGATATGTACAACCAATGAACTGTCAAGAGATGGACCTACGCAAAATTTTTGGCCAAAACGAGTCCCCTTTTGTTTTTCTGTCAGATGGCAAATTGCGGATACATGTTACTGCAAAGGTGGATCAAATGTGCCAGATGTCTACATGTATCTATATTCAGGGTTGGTAATCTCCCTGATGTAGATTGGTTCTTTTACAACAGTAATCATTTGTTAGCCTGGGTGCCATCCTCCGTAGTTTCCGCTGTCTCCCTAGTGTTGCTGGCCACCACAGAGTCTGGACTTGCTGATATCCATAACCTCTGGTGAGGATGTCACATACATGTAATTCAAGCAACGACATTATAAGGAGCTGGCAGAAACTATGGTGGATGACACCAAGGATAATCATTTTGTGTAAATTCATTATCAAGGATGCAGTGGAGCTTTGTAGAAAGTTGTAGGGCGTTTGTTTTATATCTTAGATGATTTAAGTTCTAAATTAATGTGTACTGTTTATAAACCATGGAATCAAGTTTGAAAATAATCATGGACTATTGTGTTTCAATCATCAAATATGCAGTGTCACTTAGAAACTGGCAAGATTGCTGTTTCTATGTCATTCTGAACTAAGTTCTTCAGTATGCACTAACATCCTTGGGATGTAGTTATATGGTATATAAAGATTCTTATATATATATCAAAGAAACAGTTGCGAACATATCACTCGTGTTCAACTATGATCTTGTTTTCTATGTTCTCGAAGTGTGCTGGAACATATAGATATCCATTTAGTATAACGTGTTATTTGAAACAGATTAGCTCCTTTTTGGTAAGGCCATGTTGATTTGATTATATGGATGACATCCTCTGGGAACCCCAAAACTGATGCGCGTGTGCGAATAAAAAAAAAGTTTTGCAAAAAAAAAGTTAGCTTTCACTATGAAATCTACGTGGTCATGAAGGTTGAACAAATGGCACAGAATATGTTATGGCGAATAATCTACTCTTCGAATTCATTTCTTTACATTTTTGTCTTTTTTCCTTTGATTTTGGCATTCTACGACATTGGTATCGTTTCTAAATGTTTTCCTTGCAACTTATGGCATATTTTTGCTCATTTAGCAACTGTCTTGCACGATTTACAGTATGGTTGAAAACTTTTTTTTTTGGAAACGGCCAAAAATTCATGCGCGCGCGGATGTCATCCATATAATCAAATCAACATGGCCTAACATATCTGTTTGTGTTATAATGTATGTAAACCTCTACATATAGTTTTTCTGCACATTTGTTAGATAATCGTACTCTATAAAGTCTTCCTGGTTTTGTAATGGTCTGAAGTGTTGCTGCAGTGGTGTGCCTCACTATGCATGAGAAGCATTGGATGAATTCAAAACATTGTTTGTACACTGAAGTACATTGCATTCTGTCAGTCCCTTCTTTTAACATATCATGATGACATATGCAGGTGCAAAAATATGTGCCCACAGCTACGCACCTTCAAGATTTCACAACAGTAGAATTAGGACCCAGACATTTGTTTTTCCAAGTGAGTTTTTTTATAATTTTAATCCCCAAAAATTACTAGGGACAAGCCATTTTTTTACCAAATTATTCTACCATTCTTTTGGTACCTTGTAGTTGGTTTCTGGTTAGTCCAGAAACCAATCTTTATAATTACCGGTAATGACATATTTTGTGAAATTTCTAGAATTTTTTTTTTTTACACAAGTCGTGTACATACAAATGAATGCTGTTTCGTTTATTGCTTTGTACAATGTCTGCAAATGTCTGTCCTAAGGTGTCATCCTACTGGTTTTTGTTACATGTTTTGACATCATAATCATGTTAATATGTATTGACATATATTTTAGATTAATTAAGACTAAACATACGTTGCACTAAAGTTTGTTGTGAAATATGCTGCAGGAAGATTGACTATGATTGTATAAAATTGTCTGCCAAATAAAGTTTAGAATGTTGCAAATTATATAAATGTTTATTCCTTACTTTAGTTCTTTATTCTTAAGTCCGGCCAAAAAATGATACTAAAACAGGAATACAAAGCTGGTGTTGTGAATTTCCAGCAGTACATAGCGACGTACACGACAAGCCAACACATGCTGAATCTTTTTTTGCGGAATTGTAGGTTGTAGGTATGTACTGAGTCCTTGGGTCGTGGAGCTTCGGTGCCATCGGAGTTACCACCGTACGCGTCTCCGTATTGTCGACTTAATGTCGACTATTTATATTAGCAGTTTCTAGTATAAAGAATCAAAAGAATAACGCTTCAGTATTTTACATAACGCTTTTATGCTTTATTGTTGCGACTTATGAAGTAAGTTGAACGCAATGCCTATATCATACATATTGGACACTGTAACTTGGCATGCACTGAGGAAAACACAGTAAGAAAAGTCCTAATAATGGATTATGAATATCATTTTAGCTACTGATGAACGGATACATCGATAATTTCATAACCGTTCTAATTCATACCATCTAGTTTGTAGATGGCGAACAATGAAGTTCATTCATTCAAAGTTCATTCATTCAGATTAACATTACAGAAGGAAGTCGAATGTACTAATACGAAAATAGCTTGTGCCTAACTAAACTCGAAGTACGTGTACTAGATTCGTAACAATAGAGCCCACTCATATATGGTCCTCGTATTCTGTCTCTCCTGTATAGTCGACCCAAAGCCCCACATTTCCTGTAACTGATACATCAGCGTGCACGTTCGTTCACCGGTGTGTGGTCATGTGTTTCTTTAAAGAATCTGGCCGAGTGAAGGTCTTACCGCACTCTTCACATTGGTACGGTTTCACACCAGTGTGAGTCCACACGTGTTCCTTTACAGCACCCAGCCGACAGAACTGTTTACCACATTCCTCACATCTGTACGGTTTCTCATCAGCATGAGTCTTCATGTGTCCCTTCAGGTTACCCAGCCGATTGAAGCGTCTGTCGCACTGCTCACACCGGTACGGTTTCTCACCGGTGTGAGTCTTCATGTGATTCTTCAGGTTAGGCAGCCCACTGAACTGCCTACCGCACTCCTCACATTTGTAGGGTTTCTCACCAGTGTGAGTCCGCATGTGTAACTTCAAACCAGACAGAAGAGCGAATCGTTTGCCACATTCCTCACACATGTACGCTTTCTCACCTGTGTGAGTCTTCATGTGGTCACGTAGAGTCCACAGCTGACCAAACTGTTTCCCACACTCCCCACATCTGTACGGTTTCTCACCAGTATGAGTCCGCATGTGCTTCTTTAGAGTACCCAACTGAGCAAACTGTTTTCCACACTCCCCACACCCATAAGGTTTCTCACCAGTGTGAGTCCGCATGTGTATCTGTAAATCACACAAGCGACCAAACTGCTTGTCGCACCCCTCACATCTGTACGGTTTCTCACCCGTGTGAGTCCGCACGTGGTCCTGCAGATGAGCCAGCCGACCGAACCGCTTGCCACACTCCTCACACCCGTGCGGTATGGGTCCGTTTGTGTTTGATCAGATCGCTCAGTCCGCCGAAACGCTTGTTGCACACCTCACATGTGTGCTTCTTCGTTGTTTCATTCCCCGTTTGCAGACTCTCAGACCTGTCACGTGGCCCATCCCCGGTATCAGACTGTATCTGTATCGCCAGGCTGCTGGCCGCCATGTTGAATATGGAATCTTCTTGCTTGTCTGCACCCTCAACTGAGGGTTTATAATAGCTGTGTTAGGAAAGAAAAGAAGAAATAAATCATCATATTTCCTGGGAAATAAGATAATAAACTCGGTAGTTAAAATTTCCTTGTAAGCATTACTAGGAAACATTTAAATCAACCGTATCATTGGAATCATGCAAACACAACCCGTCCTGGTGAGCTAGCATCCATTCAGGTGGTGCAGGTTATTGACCTAGGGATATGCAAATTACATTCTAATAATATAAAGATGTGATAATTACATACTAACGATAGGTTGATGAAACATGTAAATGCAAGTTATGGCTGGCAAGCAATTTGTCATTTCACACAGCATTTGCACATATTGGCATGATGTAATCCAAGTATTGCATAACCCAAAGTTCACGGGTAAATCAATTGTGGTTCAGCATGGGAGAAATGATATTCATCACTTTCTGAACACACGCCTCGCAAGTATAGCGCAAGCAATACATCTGCCGACTAGTCATGTATTTCTTGAAGCATAATCTATTCGAAAATATGACTCAATTCTGGACCTTAGGACCCCTAAGTTCGCTTTTATATAAAGATGGTAACATTATATAATGGCGGTAACTTGACATATAACATGCTTTCTGCCTTGTCTTCCATGATGATCAAACTGCTGTGTAAAAAAAAAAACATGTGGAAGCTTGTTTTTAAAAAAAGTACCAGTACGTGCAGTTATATACCTTGCTCCAGAAAAACACAACTGTGCACGTAAAGTACAGTAATTATAGAACCAAACGAAACAATGTTAACTGTACCTACCGAAATGTAACGTGCTCTAACAAAGAGGTTGCGGGATATCTGTAGGACAACACTGGGTCTTGCGTCTTCAGAGTCGCGAATGACAGAATCAGTGTGGACATGTCTTTTATATAGCTACTGAGTGGACGGGTGGTAGTAAAACCAGTTTGTGGTGAAGACAACTTTTAGACAATCCATAGGAAACAAGAAATAAGACAAAGCTAAAACAATGTCAATGCTAATGAGCCAGTTAACTAGTGTTGTCTGAGAACAGTTGTCGGCTAACTTGGCATCCAGTCTATCGTGGTTAGGGCAGGCTTAACGGTAAATATATGCTCCGTGGAACTTCATTCGCTAGTGTACATGTGCCCCCACTTCGAACATTCTCAGCAAGGATACGCCTTGCCACTTCCACTGAAGCAAATCGCCCTTTCTTCCTCCATACACCACCTCTTAGGAGGAAGTTCCACATTGAAACCTTCTTTCCTAGAACAACACCACTTTGGAATAAGCTACCTCGTGATTGTTTCCCTTATGAGCATAGCCTTAAACTTGAAAAGTCTAAGGTCAACAAACATCAGTCCTCACTGGCTGTGCAGTAACCCAAAACATTTTGAGTGGCTCCCATGAGCCTTGTCTTGTGGTGACCTATGAAGTAAATAAAAAAAGAGCTTTGCTATATAATAGAGTTTGAGAAAGAAGTTAAGAAAGAAGCATTTAGAAAGAAACAAAAAGAAGCTGAATCCAATGCATGTAGTATATACTATACATGTACGACATATGTAGTTTAGTGAAGTCATACTGATTTGTTTTTGCAAACATGGCATTATGTTTTTTTTAATCCCAATTGAGACTAGGTGGGTTTCTAAACTACATGATCTACCGCCAAGTAGTAATATACACCGGTTATAATAGTCAGTTAGCTCGTGTTGTCTGAGTATAGGAGCTAAATGTGGCCTCGCGGGGTGGTAGGGCAGGGTCTCAAGTGCCCGAAAGTTCAACACAGGGTTATATACAATGTATCTTCGTATGTGTTGCCTGTACATGTGTAACTGCTCGTTTGAACCAGCGTGTGTTCGCGGTGAACGATGTTTGTAGCTTTGAGACTAAAAGAGTGTCCTTACTAATAAACAACCCTTTTGGCTCCTTGTTCGCCCAATCTTGACACTTTGCGCAGGGAATGGTAAACACCCTGTCTGTACTAGTCTAGAAGCGTAGTCGTGCGGTACAATGCAGAACTGCATGAGTTGAATTGAATGCAAGCTTTAGGCTTAAAAATCAAAGCACGTCATATAATATGTCTGTGATATCTGCAACTCGCACTAAAATACAGAGAGAAAGCCATATTGGAAATGATCCTTATGCATGTATGCCTTGAGTGAAATTTATTGTCTGCATGCGCATGCGGCCAAATATAATATGAGACGTCTGTCTTGACATTTATATCTCAAACAATAGCTCTATTGTGGGGTCGTGTGGCGTAGCGGCAGAGTATGGACTCGGAACCAAGAGGTCCCGGGTTCGAGTCCTGACATGCCATCGATCTTGTGCCCATGGGAAAGGCACGTTACATGACTTTCCTCACTTCGCTCAGGTGAAAATGAGTATTGTATTGTCCCCTGTGTTGGTGGCGACATATTAAATATAAGTTGAAAAAACTTGAGTGTGCCAGTAGAACATTTTTTTTAATGTAGCTCTAATTTCACTTGCATAAAAATGACATACGTCACGGCAGGTATTATTGTCACGATATGTTGACCTTTTATGAATTTCCACGTGTCTGCTGATCGACTTTTAAAATAATAGTAGTAGAATGGTATATTAAGAAACTCAAACTCAAACATATGTACACAATACACTCTGACAACAGACTCGCAGGCAACCTTAATTACTGGATGCCTGAATTGCTCTGTGGTCAAAACAAAATATCGTTAAAACATGCTGCTAAAAGGTATCATTGTTAAAACATTACTGATTACACATTACTAACATTTATATTAGTTATAAATATTCCTAGCTTTAAACATTACGTAGTTTCGGATTTTGTTTCCGGAGTAATTAGTTTGATAGTCAATATGCACATTTCACGATCACATTGGGCAGTAATAACAGTTCGGTAAAATGATGTTGTAACAACATCAGCAATAAGTCACGTTGACATGTACATTGTCGTGTCAGTTAACACTCTGTTGCACTATGTAGGTTATGTGCTATTCAGTAGGTTGACCGTGTATGGTAGTGCGCTGTTTCTAAAGCGTCTAGTTCTTGTTCTAAATCAGTCTATCTGGTTACTGGGCCGTGTTGTACATCCACTGATGTCCCTACGGCGGGGAGGGAACCAATGCCGGTAGTCGGGAGATTGTAAGAGTTTTCTGGCAAAACTAATACTTGACTGGCGCACATCATTTGCCAAGTAATTGTACATGATTGTATAATTTACGTACCACACAAGACAGCAATTAAAAAAAACAAGGTTACGTGGATTAAAGGTATTAATAGTTACTTAGGACTAAAGAGTAGCCAGTACAGTAAGTTTTATGTTAAAGTGTTCATAGACCACTTTTCCCAGGGTTTTAGATTGATGTAACGCTCGAATGGTAACATGTTACCAATATTGAAAAAAATCATTCCTACCGGTGTACATCATGCAGATACGTTATACGCCAAAATATGGATTTCATGAAAATCATCATAAACGCATACTTATATAATATATGACGCTGTGGCTGTAAAACTATAACACTGTAAAACCGATGTCAGAGCCGATGTAAAACCGACGTAAAGCCGATGTCAGACCCCTGGAATGGGGGCGTGTGATAATTAGTCTACACAGTCTAGGTATATGATAATAAAGGGTTAATGCACTGCCCCGAGTTGTATATGGTGTCATAACTGCATGAGCAGCTGCCATAACCACCGAATAAACCACCGTGTGAGCGAAGCGAACGAGGTGGTTTATGAGGTGGTTATGGCAGCTGCCCATGCAGTTATGACACCATATACAACGAGGAAAAGGCAGTGCATTAAAATTATTATCATATAGCCTATCCAAACTGTCAATCAACACAATTCCTGTTTGAAATACAACAGCTTTAATATATATACATACATAAAAATACATTCGAATATATTATACGCTTTAAAACAAATATGGATAATTTCATTTAATGCAAATTGTAGTTTAAATGAAGCTAAACAAAAAAGTTTATTGGACAGAAAAATGCTACAAAGGTTTACAGAAAGAGTCGCATGCCCCTATACCCTATAACATAATGGTATCAGCCATAACACGACATGTGCTGTTATTCCGCCATAACACCACATGTGCTGTTATCGGGAAATAACAGCACGGGTATCCGGGCCTCTGATTGGTCCACGCCGTCCGGCTATATGATAATAGAATATACTGCTTACAAGTCTGCTATTTTCCAAGTCTGTAGATAAAACATTAAACGTGGCAATCATAAAAATTCTTACAACACATTTACAACTTCTGCTATAGGAGTGTTATTAAACTGCAATACAACTTTAAAGGATTTCATTGAAATCTCTTGTGTCTCAATTCTTGAGCTATGAGTCGTCATCTTTTTTTGCTAAGCTCACTATTGAAATGGCAAAAGTACATGACAACGGATGGGCCATGTGCTTTATGCTTTCTTTACCAATTCTTACAAATTAGAATTCTATTCAGAATCTGGACGCAATGTGGATTCAGTTTTATCGAACGTCACTTTACGTGGGTTCAAGGGCCGCCATGTGTATGACATTGCGCCACCCAGCAAAGACATTAACCTTTGAGCCCACCGCAGGTGGCAAAAACTATAATGGTTTTTGGTGACGTCTCAGGGAGGAGCCTAATGGTACAGTATTGTGTGTAGTTTGCAAGAATTCTAGGAATTTATGTTTTCATTGCCAGTCTTGTTTCTCTTTGTATTACCTTTAAAAGGCATGGCTACGCTAACATCTGAATATGTGCTTAGTTAATTCAATGCGTAACAATGTTAGCAGCAAATTTAAACAGTCCATCGAACCATCCATTTAGGCTGGAGAGTGCTGACAGATGAACCTCTTCGGCTTGTAGCAAGCGTCGTCGTCCCACATGGGGGAACCGGTGGGGCGTGACCAGTACTGGCCACATAAGCGCGGGAATCGGGGGTTACTTGGCTGGCCTGGATTCCAAGCCTATTCAAACATTAAGTACATATAAGAAACATTTAAACTTAAATTGTATTTATGCGTTACTCAAAATGGGGGTACAAAATAATGCATGGATAAGGGGCATGCAGAAAGCTGCTAGTCTTACCGTGAATGAAGTCGAATGACTCGTATTTCGGGACTTATTATAACTAGAAACTATAAATATTTCTACGTTGATGTAAGCAAGACTTCCAGGTGAACAATATTTTAAAAAGGATTAAAAAAACTAGTTTCGAATAAAATCCCTCACTCTTCTTAAGTGTCTCTAGAATGGACTGAGAGAAAAAAAGTCGACACTAATTTGATGTGAAGGAACATCCTCTTTACATGCTCTTTACAGTGACACTTGCGACTATTGTTAATCTGGATTTTTCATTTCCATCACAAGTGATTAGTGTCGAATTGTTCTCTCATGATCAGTTCATTCTAGTAAGAATCATGAAGAGTACTAGTGGCAGATATCCGCACGAAATCTTTGCAATTTATCCACTAGTAGAGTTTCAATTTCTGTTAATGTCCACCGAATTTCAAATCATTTTCATTTCATTACTTTCTAACTACTCTCTCTTTCTTAATTTCTCTCTCTCCCTCTTTCTGTCTCTCCCCCTCCCTATCTCTCTCTTTCTCTCTCTCTCTCTCTGCTACTGACAAACTGAGTGCCTCAACATACCTTGTACCCTTCGACTAATGACCCGTCCTCCCAAGTCCAGATCCAATAACTCCCGAGCGGCCATGGCACAAACTTCGCTTTGTCACGCATGCCGATCCAGTATTGGCAGTTGTCTCCTTTGCCTGTGACCAGATCTCTCAGAGCGACGTCCAGTTCTTTCGTTTTCGGCACGGCTAGTGTGGCTTCTTCTTTCTTGCATGCCGCCTTGGCGTCATCATAGGATAGTTTTGTTACAGACAGCCTGAGGCAGGTCCCGGCGAGAAGACTGGAGCCGTTTTTGCAGCGGGGAGCTGGGAAGACCAGTTGTAGGCAGCGTAAGGTTATACATTTTTTAGCCCTCAATACTACAGGAGGTAAACTCTTTTTAACCCAATGAGCAACTAAAGGCCACTGGTGAGTGAGTCAATGGGTGTACATATCACCATTTAGCAAACATTCGGATACGATTCTTGGTGGTTAGTTTGTAGTCTCCACTAGACTTCTTTTGCAGGCTGAATAATTCGTAGAAATCGGCCTAAAAAGGGTATTAATTGGCCAAAGAAGGTAGCCGGCCAGAGAAGCTCCATTTGCCTGCCGAGCTAGAAGCTTCTCTGGCCGGCTACCTTCTCTGGCCAATTAATACCCTTTTTAGGCCGATTTCTACGATTTATTCAGCCTGCAAAAGACGTCTGGTGAAGACTAGTTAGTTTGTAGTCCACTCAGTGCCAATCATATTCTACACCAAACCTGTAACAGTTACTAAACGGTGAATAGTTTATGCCATTGTTTATAGTATAGATGTCTCTACAATACATGTAGATTCGGAGTCCAGGAGACCTAGTATTACATCAAAATCTTGTGAGATTCGGCGTGGGTATGCTGTAAATATTTACCAACAACAATTCATTATAAACTTTGGCATGCACCCCTTTAGAATTGTATAATTTGGGACTTTTGACTGTTTTCAGGCCAAAAATGCACTGTTTAGTGTGGATGCGTGACTAGGACATTGGGGAAGGCCCAAATATACTAGTATATGGGCATGCATGCATAGAGAGACAGGAGCAGGCGTTTCTAATTGAAGATGTGTTCCTGATTAGATGTTCACTTAATTGCTTTATTTCCTAAAGGAACACATGTGTATACTTATAACAGGAGCAATTAGCTTGTTTTTGTTTAGAAGTACTGGCTAGGAAATATAGTGCCCTCACTGCCCTGGCCTGGGTTGTATTCGGTTGTACGTCACATAACGTACATTTTTATACCTTGCAATCTTTAAACCATATTTGGTTATTGAGCAAATATTGGCCTTTCTTGTTTTATGATACATAATCATTTTTTGGAAAGTGCACATTCAATCTAATGTAGAATATACAAAGCCATCTAACGAATTACCGTGTTCAGGTGGTCGTGCTAATACATGAACTCCCACTGTCGCTGGACGTTCAGTCGTCTTCTCCATTATCAGTCCCTCGTTATGGTTACGTAGGGAAAACTGAAATCAAAATTACAATGAGTTATTATAATGGTAATGGTGATAAAGGAGAAAGCACAACATAATAAAAAAGTATATTTATTCATTCTACTCGGGACTGACTTACTTATTTATATCTAAATTTTCAAGCTACATTTTAAAATACATAATATGGTTTACCTTATGGAAAAATAATTATAATATTATATAATATTAATTATTATTATAATAATTTTATACAAGGTTCCTCTGCCCTAAGAATTTATCACAAAAGAAATGGGAAAGAAGGAATCTGCTGCTTGTGAAAAGTTTGTATTAGAATTCGAAGCTTCTTCTGCTTCTACTTCTATACAATACTGGACAATTCCCCTCTCGGGGTGTAACGTCCAGGGTTAGACTTACTTTGGTTGATGTGCCTGTGGTGTCAGTTGAGATTACTCCTGGCAGATAAGTTGAGTGATTTGGATGTGTGTCCACCGTCTCTGGCAGTTCTGTTGTGTTGTCCAGTAGTGCCGATGACACCAAACGACTTTCCGGTAGGCGTTCATTAGAAGACTCTTTGATGGTTGAGTCTGCTGTGTCAGCGTTCTGTAAAAATTATGACCAACTTGTTAAAAGAGGTACGAATAGCAAAGTTCTTTGATCACAGCCATTTATTTTTCACGAGTCGACGTTTTGATGACCGCCTGTCATCTTCATCAGGTCAATTCTGACTGGTTTACTGTGCACTGACGCTAGATTTTTCTCCCTACATTCCAACATCTAATCACAAGACGTGGTGACGGCATACTCGAGTGTTTTCAACTTATATCAATGCCGCCACCAACACAGGGGACAGTACAATACTCATTTTCACCTGAGCGAAGTGAGGAAAGTAGTGTTAAGTGCCTAGTGCATAGCGCACTTAAGGTGTTACATAGTAACAGTGCACTGTTACTTGGTTCACAGTGCTGTCAGCAATGCATTTCCAAACGTAGTACAATTGTGACATACCTACTAGGCATTGATACATCATAGGGACATATGTGGTTCCAAATGTTCCAAGTGTCGCAGTCCCAAAAAGAAATTATTGAAAGTCTTGTCACATACGTATTGTTAGAAATCATAACGTCGGCTCGTGAAAAATAAATGGTTGTGATCAAAGAACTTTGCTATTCATTCGTTTACCAAGCAACCTGATGAAATTATTTACGGAATGAAATCGGTACTTAAGAATTTTACTTTACAGTCCATTGCAGGATCTGTGTTTTAAATTTTAACTGAAAATGTGTGCCTAAGTTTGGAGATACAGACCAATGTACAATTTTTAACAGCGTTAAAGATGTAAAAGGTGTACACAATTGCCATTCATATGGCTTCCACATTTTTCGTACGTAAAAAAAAGAAACTACATGAATAAACCAACCTAATGAATATAGAAAACATTTCAAGAAATCATTCAAAAGATTATCAGCAAATAAAAAGAGCGGGGTACCGCAATGATTAAAGTAAATTATGAACTTATTTTGTTAGTAGTTGTGGGTTAAATTATATTGCAGTAGAAATTAATTCACTGCGTACTAAGTGTATGTATTAAGCTAAGTAAAAAGCGCTGATGCTGTAACTTGTACAAATACCTTGTTTCCCGCCGAGTTGAAATACATGAAGGCACAAGCTCCTGCACTTAACAGGGCTACTATCGGAAGAGCGATTGCTATTACACGCAGTAGGCTGGGGCGCTGAAACTTGCATCTTTTAAGTCGCCCACAAATGTTTTCAGCACTGGTGCCACCTGTGTGTAGCCAAAGATTGATATAAGTTTAGCATATCTCTATTTGGTATGGTCATGGTATGTACAGATTTTTGTACAAGACTAAAACTTCGGAGAAAAATGGTAACAAACATCCGCGAACCTCTCACGACAAGATGATGACAAAACTTTGGATATTAAACTGATTCTTTATTCAAACAAAAGAATATATATATATATATATAAAGTTCTGGTGTCGAGGGTATTAACCTGGTTTGTAAAAATTAATCGTTAAAGCTGAAAAAGTTAATTTTTAAAGCCCATAGAAATGACTGGTTTGCAACTGCTACGATCAAATAAATAATATGTTGTAAATGAAATATTGTTATGAAAGATGAAAGATTGTCGTGTTGTTGATCATATGTATGTGCAAAATATAAATCTTCACGGAGAATTGTCGCATGCATATGGACACTTGTTTTTGTTCAAGCGTATGGAACATTTTGGATTCAAACAAGTGAGTCGGAAGAAAGTTACCTTCTTTTTGATCTTGTCGTAGAGGACCAGGTACATACCACGCGTTTCTAATCAAACCTCCCGAGTTGTTGCCTGTAGCTGGGAACAATGAGATTGTCTAGTGATTCGAATGCTCGCCATGACTGATTTTATCACTTGCAATTGTCTTGCGTAGGTCTCTGAGTTGATCACTGTCGATCGACATCACATCATACACTCCACTATTGGAAAAGGAAAATTTGCACTCGGTGACAAATTTTTTGGCTTCAATCATTTGCTTTTAAGTGAAGAATCTAAAAATTGCTTCAATAGCACCTTTTGCACATATGTCTTTCATGTCAAATTTCGCTACCAACTACACGTAGTATTGTCACTTGCACGTGGTATCATCTATCTTACCCGTAGGCGACGTCTCCAATTTCATCCCAAGTGCAGACTCATCGTTGGAAGCAATATTGTTTTTCGGATTGAATTTTGGAATCTAAATATTGAATAGACACAGGGTAGGCCATACTCGTATTTCACCTTCGATGTAGATCTCTTTTCCAGATCTATCATATCTAAATGTTGATTCTGGTAAGCTAAGGTTCTCCAAAAAATGTAAAACAGCATATTTTATGGAAAAATACATGGACTTAATCGATTTGAACATTCGCTCTGCAATATGTAAATTACAAATTAGTGCACACCCTCTCGAAACTGAGAGAGAGGCGATATACACATGTATCTCAAATTGTAGGTGAACGAAATGAACTCTTTGACGTAGCTTCCAAATTCTACCCAAACTTTCCCACATATACAAATAAAAAATAAAAAAAACTAACTCTCCTCTTAACATCCAACAGCCCACAAATTACAGAAAACGTGGGATCCTTTGTCTTCCTCTTGTCTTAAAAAAAGAAGTCAAACCCAGTAGTTTTTACTAGTAGTTTCTTAGTAGTTATCAGTAGTTATATGTGTACTAATTGTCTGTTTCTATACCAAATGTTTCTTCTGTTCTTGCAATTAGCCCTCGGGCATGAATTTGCAATAAACTTGCTATTGTTAAATGCACGGAAACAAGGTCTTATGAAGTACTTTCCCATATTTTGATTTTCTGCACCAGAAAGTCATAAAGGCTTGTGCACAAGAAACACAGGGGGTTGACCAACTGAGAATTGCCGACAACTGTTGAACTATATCTGATGGATTAGTCTGGAAAAGATATTTGCCGATTGAATTTCTTTCTTAGGATTCTTTTCAAGATTCAAAGGTATGCACGCAGCAAAATGAAGATCAGTAATGCACAGTTATGACGCACAATAGGTCGAAATCTATATATTCTTTCCATGAATCGTATTATGTTGCAACACACCGCGGCATTTTAACACTTCCTTTTGTGTTTACTGTTGCGGGATACATTACTATAGATATCTGATACTAACTCATTGTAAAGATCAACGATCAACATTCAAGATACGGCATCATTCCTTATATTTATACCTTTCATTTGGTTTGAAATATTCTCCGATAGTCAAAGGAAGCTAATAATAAGAATTGGTTCAATACGAGATATCCACTATCGAATAGGATAGAAAATATGCACGATTTACAGCCCTGAAAAATGTTTTTACTGCAGTCAACGAACGGTTGAATCTTTAGTTGTGACAGAATACAATCAGAAGGATGTACCTCCGTGTTTAGTTTGCTGTAAACCGCCAGGCTTGTTCATTGCGTTGGTGAGTGGGTTGGTGACTTTGTTATCAGCAGCCACATGGGGCGTACCGGCACTGATGTGGTGTTCCCTGGCCTGTGGTTCTTTGTGGACTTCATCATGGTCGATGTAGTTGTAAGTGTGGCTGTCTACATCTTCATAGTCGATGTTGTAAATGTGGCTCTCTACATCTTCATCGTTCTCATTGATAGCAGGTAGCTCATCTACCTTCTCCATATCTGTGGTAAAAAAATCAAGTTCTGTTATCTTCTACATAAAACCTAGATCATTACCTCCATGAAATCCGATTTAAATGTTTACTACAATGATAATGTTATGGCAACAAAATCAATGATCATTATCCAAGACAATACAGCTTGCCTGATGCCTATCTGCGTTGCTACGTAAATGGGAGATAAAAATCTTTCCAAATTGAATACACAATGAACTGTCTTAACTACCTTTTTTGTTGAAATCTTCTTCTGAAGGCGATGTCATCGTGTTACGAACTCTGCTGTCTCTGCTCGGTTCCTTTACTGATGAACTTACGGTTTGCTAAACAACTACGCGGAACAAAAATTCTCTCCTTATTTTGGTGTCCTTATTTTAGAGATGAATTCTGTCGAGGATGGCTGAACCAACAGTGAGGAAACAGTAGCTGGAATGGTTGGTGTGGCTTGTAGACAAAGTGAAGTCACGACGACTCGCCTAGACTAATCAGGTCAGATCTCATGACAAATCCACCCACCTAGGTCAAAGTTACAAATCCACCCACCTAGGTCAGGTACAAGACAATTTAAAAGAAGATTCTAATATTCAATCCGAAACACAATCTTGCAAAGATGAGTTTGCACTCCTGATTAAAACTGTTGCCCACGCATGAAATTGATCATACCTAGATATACATGTACGATACATGTAGAAACTATATATGACCATGTTAAACTTTCTGTTGTTTTGAATCTTCATACTTTATGTTTACACAGAGTTGATCCTGTACTCAGTTTACCGTAAGCTATGAGTTTTAGCATGTAATTTTATCATTAAGAGATATCAATGTCTTGTATATGAGAATCAAAGACGAGTACAATGGACAAACTCTAAATACTTACGAGTTGTAGTATAAACCGAGCACAACGGACAAATTGTAAATACTTAGGCAATCCAGGAGTAAGTCTGCAAAATGGTATCGTAATATAACGTTTCAATGTTTCAAAGTTTCTGTCTTGGAGCCAGCGGGCCCGATCAATGGCATGCTGGGGATCTCATCACACATCCGCTGTCGTTTTCTCTGATTGAAATCGTATTTTCAACCAACTTATCCTGTTATAAAGAGCGTGAATCTTCCATTTCTTTACTTGACTGCATACAAGGTATCGACGTGTTGATTCTTGAGTTTGGATCATGTCACAAATTGCAGTTTCCAGATGGACTTAAGTTCCTGCACTCTTTCCAAGTAAGGCAATGACTACATCATTGTGATTGATACATTTTTCGGACAGTCAATATTTACCAGCAGAATAATATAGTAATAATAAAACCTGCATGTCAGCTGTTGGCACCTTGCTCTTCTTATGATAGCTGTTTGTTTAGTCACTATCAAATATAAAAAAAAAACACATTTTCTTAGTATCAGGTATGACGAAAACAAGTAAACATGTGCATCAACACATGCATTATGATGTGAATTTTCATCATGATTATTAATGTTAAATGTTACTTAAATAGCCAGCTTCAGACAATCAATTCAACCATGTGACTTGGGTTGTTTGCTACACGCCATTTCGCAGTTCAGCTACCGAAGGAGGCTGGCACACCCTACAAGACAACAAGCTACCCGTCAATAAAGTTCCTGTCAAAAAAGCGCCAACGGAAGGTATTCTGAATCACTTGTAATGCACGAACAGAAACACAAATGCTAAACTTTGCTGTGTATAGGTTTGCCAAACCTTCACCAGATCTAGAGTCATCTGGCTGCGCCCACTGAGGCAGGGAATAAGATACTAGACAGGTCTTAGGTGACCGTGTATCTGCCGTTTTCTGAGTATTGGCAATGATAGTTAGGCCCTTTTTCTACTAAGGATAGATAGTTTAAGGATAAACGATTCAATTTGATCCAGATTCGATCCGCATCAAAGTGAATCTATTCGGCTCGATCCAGGCAATTCATTCTTAGTGGGAAAAGGTCAAAGAAGCCTGGCCGTCAGAAAACGTTTTTAACAATCTTCCGTCGTAATATCTGCTTGGATATTTGGTTAGTTCTAATGAGGAAACGGCTGCAACATTATTAATTTTACTTTTGACGTCGCACTTTTGGCAAATATTTGTTGAAAGAATAATTACCATAATGTCTTGTCAAGCCACAATCTGCTTGAAATGTTTGAAGGCTGCAATTTTGCAATCACAAGTTAGGCTTTACGTACCGAAGGACTGACCCTCTGTGGCTCATGCGTTTTAACGCCGCCAACCTGAAAAGTAGGGCTGAATGCCAAATGGCAAATTTCCTAAAAGTAATTTTCCGTATAATTATATATTTTTCTATTTTATTTTGCAACTTACTTTGATGCCAGTTTTTTTTTAAGATTCTAAACTGCGACTGTTTCGTTTATGACCCAATCTTAAGTTAGAAATCTGATCCCAGGTTATACTTTCTTACTACAATGCAGGTATGACGACGACAAGTAAGCATAGTATACAATTTGAGACATCATGATTATCAGTTTCTTCATGATCCTATTAATGTTAATATTATTCAAATAGCCGGCTTTAGACAATCAACACCACCATATATGTAAGACTGACCTTGGGTTGTTTTCCATATGGCATTGCCGACCAGCTACTGAAGGAGAACACGTCAGGCATTTTGAAGTAATACATTCATGTTTGAGTCAAAAGGAAAAAAAAATTCCCCTTTTTGAATGGAGACTCTCACCTTACAACCCTTCTATTTTATGGCAAGTTTTCGTCTTTTTTAAATAGAGCTCTAAGAAACAATTTTGGTTTGGCCTTACAAATTTAATCTTTGCTGTGGCAGAACACCATGGGAAGAAAGCTGCGACACATGCTGATGTTACTTCTCATCATCCTGAGGGAACCCAACATGCCAGAAGCTACCTGCAGCTGTCCATCACCAATCTGCAGATGTCCCAACCTAGGCCTCAGCAGCGTCCCTCAGACCCTCCCAACATCCATCACTCTCTTGGAATTGAGCAATAATTGTATCACAACTGTAAATCATGTCCTCATGTATAGGGATTTGGAATCCTTGTACCTTTCTAAAAACCAGATAAAGACTATTCATCCTACCGCATTTCAAAAACTACCCCGATTACGACTTTTGGATCTGACCAACAACCATATAACAATTATTCAAACAGGTACATTTCACGACCTACCAAAACTTGAACATTTGTTCCTGTCCGACAACCAGATAGGAATGATTTTTCCTGGTACATTTAAAAATCTACCTCTACTTCAAAAGTTGGATCTGTCAATGAACAATTTAACTAAAATTCACGAGGGCACATTTAATAATCTATCAATGCTACAAGAGTTATCACTGTCCGCCAACCAGATTACAATGGTTCATGCAGCTTCATTTCAAAATCTATCTCTACTACAACATTTGACCCTAAACAGCAACCAGATAACAAAAATTTGGTCAGGCACATTTCATAACCTATCCTTCCTAAAAACATTGCGCCTGATTTTTAACCAAATAACAGTGATTCAGATGAATACATTTAAAAACCTCCCCCAACTACAACAGTTGTACCTGTTTAAAAACCGGATAACCAGTGTTCCACCTGGTGCATTTCAAAATTTACCTCGGTTAAAAGAACTGTATCTACATAACAACGAGATAAAAATCCTTCAGTCTAGTACGTTTAAAGATCTACCCTTACTACAAAAGCTGTACCTGTCCAACAACCATATAAAAGTGATTCAGACGGGTTCATTTCAAAATCTACCCCAATTATATCAGTTGGACCTTTATAGAAACCAGATAGCAATGATTCAGGCAGAAACATTTAAAGATCTACCCGCACTACTACAGGTGCACCTGCACATAAACCAAATAACAACGGTTCAGGCAGGTTCATTTCAAAATTTACCTCGACTAAGAGAGTTGCGCCTGTACTCCAACCATATAGATATAATTCAGGAAGGTTCATTTCAAAATCTACCTGGACTAAAATATTTGTACCTATCCAACAACCAGATAACAATGATACAGGCAGGTACATTTTATAATTTATCACAATTACAAGAGTTGGAACTAAAAAACAACAAGATAAGTAACATCCACTTTAATGCATTTAAGACTCTGCCCCAGCTCAAACGTTTGGACCTTAAGAAAAACAAGATATCTGTTATTCCTCCTTCAGCTTTTGGCTTGTTGCCATCTATCAGCTTTGTGAAACTTGAAGAGAACCCTTGGCGGTGTGACTGTAAGATGGGTCCTTTCAGGCTGAATATCACTAAGTTTCCTTCATTTAAAGACCAGATAAAATGTGCCGAACCCATTGAACTGCAGAACAAGAAGCTGATAGATGTCAATCCTGAAGAGATGGTATGTAAAGAGTCAACTGTATCACCTGTAACTGTTGATATCCAGATCTCATCTGCAGTGTCTTCATATTCAGTTGGCAGTTCAGAAACCTATGCTTGTTCATCAAAATATCCCTTAGGCTCGAAATCTGCTACAAAGCTTCTTAGTAAACAATTAGCAAGTTGCGGTCATAATGCTACCGTCTCCCCTCGCTATTACTGGTTGTTTAGTCGAGATGCGTTGTCAACAGCGCGTCTTGTAGAGAACACGAACAAAACAATAAGAACGATCATTTCACCTCCTGCAATCACTTCAGACAAACCAGGATCTCCTGTCAGTTCCCTCCTTCCCGTTCTTACAGTCTGTGGTTCAGTAGCTGGCCTGTTTTTCCTGATTGGCACCGTCTTGGTCCCAATTTGGTTCATAAAGAGGACCAAGAATACTCCTTTAGGACTGAAGCCTAATGTAGTTGCGAGCAACAACACTATATCTACAGTAACGACCAGTGGGGTTCAGAAAGGGCAGGGCCAGCATCAAGCTAACACCCAATCTCTGAAAATTGAAGATATATCACAAAACCAGATACTAGCTGCCTTACAGTCAGTTGAGATGTATGCAGGTGAGGGAACACCACAAAAAGACCCAAAATCTACAGACATGGTCAGTTGTAACAGGCAGGCAAGGCAGGGCCAGCCCCAGGCCATCATTGAATCCATCACGAACACAACAGCTACTGTAATGGCTAGTGATGATCATCACCAGTATGAAGATTTTGACAGCCATCATTTTAAGACAGGGCAGGGGCAGCCTCAGTCCAACACTGAATCTAACAAAAACAACACAACTACTGAAATGGCAAGTGATTATCATCACCAATATGAAGATATTGAAAACCATTGCTTTAAGACAGGGCAGGGGCTGCCTCAGTCTACCACTGAATCTAACAAACACAACACAACTACTGTAATGACCAGTACCAGTGGTGATGATCACACAACGCAGGGCCAGTCTCAGACCATCACTAAATTCTTAGATGCTAGAAATCAATGTTATGGCACTGGACCGACTGCCCCGCAGCTAAATTCCCTATACACAACAGATACTGCAGTGATTAGTGGTCATGACCACACAGGGCAGGGTCAGTCTCAGTCCACCATCGAATCTTTAGATGCTAGAAATCAACCTTATGGCACTGTGCCGACTGACTCTCAGCTAAATTCTCTGTACACAACAGATACTGTCGTGGTAAGTGGTCATGATCAGGCAGAGCAGGGTCAGTCTCAGTCCACTATATGTAACACAAACACAACAGCTACTGTAATGACCAGTGCTCATGATCAGACAGGGCAGGGTCTTTCTCAGGTTATTACTCAATCTCCAATAGTGGAAAATAACGAAATCCCATAACAAGGTCCCAATGTCCCATAACGAAGTGCTAGCTGCCTTAAAGCCAAACCCTATGTATAAAGATGTGAAAACACCACCAGAGGACCCAGCATGTACAGAAATGGCCAGTGGTCATGATCAGACTGGACATAGTTATTCTCAGACCATCGCTGAACCCAACACAAACACCACAGCTACTGTAATGGAAAGTGGTCATTGACAAACGGAACAGGGTCAGTTTAAGACCATTACTGAATCAAACACAAACACCGCAGCTACTGTAATGACAAGTGGTCATGATCAGACAGGGCAGGGTCAGCCTTAGACCATCCCTGAATCCAATACAAACACCGCAGCTACTGCAATGACCAGTGGTCATGATCCAAACCAGGCCATACCTGATCATGAAACCCTGGATGTTAGGAATCTTTCATATGGCACAGGTACAAGTTAGATTTGCCAGAATCCCTTCCCTATAATAACTAAACGTTTTCCAAAATGTATTATACACATGAAGCTTAGTGTGATAGTGCCCTACAATGGTAATGGCCACAATAGTTTATATATTGGGTAAAGGACACTTTATCCAAATCTCAGCAACATGTTACCACAAGGACTCGGTTGAACTGACTAATCCATGCTCTGAAATTGGGTTTACCAAGATACATATATGAGAAATATGAAAATGAAAATACATTTGAAAATGGAACTGGGTTCACAATGATACACATATTTCCCCTCCCCAATATATTTTCATATTGACCAATGTCAATATGCCACAAACAGAAATAGTGAGGCGTAAATAAACTGCTGAGAAGAAAGAAAATACCCATGATGACATAGACTTAGTCATAGTAAGTAAGTTTAACAAAAACTCTATAACTTTATCTCTAACAAAGACATGCTTGAAACTAGTAAGAAAAAAAAAGTTGCAATTTCGCAACCCAATGCAAACATTCATGGTGGCTAAAATGAACCATGTTATAAATATTAGTAAGTAGTAAGTAGTTTGTGGGTTAAGGGGACTAGCTGTTTTCTAGTAGTGTGCCAAAGGGATATAGGAATTTACCTTTAAGCTACTTAAAGGATCATCGATTTCAATTCTATCTTTATAATAACTTACGTATCTAAGAGGAACTTAAAGCTTGTTTAAATTTTAATAGTAACTTTCGCACTTATCATTACTGCTGACGTTTTTAAAATAAATATTGCATTAAAACATGTAATACCCACAGTAGTTTTTATTTTTGTGCTATAATTTAATAGTTGTTACTCAGTGTTAGACCAAGATATTAGCTGGTGATATTTGTTTGTAGTATGCACAAACAACTAGAAAGGCTGACATTTGCTCAGGTGCAATGCAGCAAATGGCTTCACCATATCCCTGTACCAAAAATGCACCTACCCACTCCCGCACAAAATGGATTGTTCCTAACTCGCCAATGTCCAAAATGTGAAGTGTTCTTAGACTAATAGTCTATACTCCTATGCAGCAATGGAATCTTCCAACGCCTTCTGCTGTCTGAAAATGTAGAACCCGGTGTTCTATTTAGAACTGTCAGTTGGGGATTTGGGTTTTGAAGCTACAATCACTATTTTTACTCAAAGTAAAGTACATAAAAGTATCTGAATAGTGAACACTGGCGAAATCTAAATAAGCATATGGTGCCAAGCTACCCTTTGGCTGCATTTCCGGTCACTTGGTTTTCATATTAGCACATAGGAGCCAAAAAAGGTAGCAAAAAAAAAGTACCAAATTACATAATTTCTAAGTGACACACACCAAAAGCGTAAAAACATTTTGTTGGCTTAGCATGAAAGTTCATCTGTGTTGGTACAAGTTATTATGAATTAAAGTTTAATTTTAATTTCATTTTGTTAGCTTGTTTCCAAGGATCCCCAATATCAAATTTCATGCCATTCGGGTGTAATATTAGGGTACAGGAGCCAAAATGTACATTGTCGGTACAGAAATAACCCCAAAGCCCCTTTTCACAGTTTAAAGTGGTGTGTGTCAAAAGTGTGAATGACATTCTTTGAACATTTCTCCAAGGTATCACCATAACGAATTTCAGGACATTCAATATTGGGGCACAGGAGCCAAAAATGATATTGGATTTCATGCAGTAAAGCAACTGACGCAAAGTTTAGGTGCTTTGATCGTTAATAAAACGTTGTGAGTTTTCCAGATTTCTCCCTTCCCTGCTATCAAAATAATACCGACTGGCTCCTTCCCGAGACTTTATAATTCCAGAATGTAGAGGGGGATTCAGGTGGACTTTTCAGACAAAGTAAGTAGGATTGATGTCCGCCGAAAAGAGGTTTTCAGTCCCTTTAAAGTTGATTACATTTCTCACTACCCTTTTTAAACATGAGATCATCTGCGTTTTTTTTATGAGTCATATCATGAATATTTTTCAAATGAGTCTGCTCTCGCAAAATCGCTCTCGCCCTGGTGATGGTCTTGTTTTTCTGGCCCAACATTTTCTGGTTCTCCCTGACAGCACCGTAGTCTGTAGCGTAAAATCATCAACAGTTTCTTGAAATTCGAGTGGAAAACGTAGCCTAAGGAGGAACACCTGGGGGAAAATATTGCAGAGAGCTGAAGAGAAACAAGTACGTGACGTTTGACTAAACATCTTCGATGTTGTAACTTCAATTTTGAGCCTTATAGAGCGGTGGCCCTCCCTTTGAAATCTGCCTTTGATGAAGGGATTTGGGTAGCCGGGAAAAAAGGAAAACACTGTACCGGGAGACAACAGGTAAAAAGGAATCATTTCCACCTGACGACACATGACAGGTGAAGAAGAGCCTAAAGCGAAGCCACATATATAGGAAGACAAGGAAGCTTAAGACCAGAAGAAATTGTCCAAATCATTAAGACGTAAGAATTGTCAAGACAGAGATCAAGAAAAATCCACTTAATCTTTGTCACCAACAGAATGGAAACGGAAAATGTGGCCTACCGATCAGCGTCCTTTTTGAGGGAAAATCGACCCGGTGACGTGGCCGAAACACCGAGACGAGCTAACGGTACGTTGTTGTTGTAATTTAGATTTAAACATAAGTATATGTTAACATATACATTTACATGTTTGAGTTGGGTTTTCATTCACTCCTTGTCCAAATAGTTTAAGTGACAAAAATCCAAACAATCCCATGGTTGTACTATAAAATCAACCAATAAACTCAGCTAACGTGAACTACCAGACTTCAGCCGATATCTGACTACGGTGGTGCTGACATGGGCACACTTCTGGCCAAGATATTAACCAGGACAAAGTTAGTCTTCAAGGCAGTATAATATGTATAGACAACAGATAATGAATTTAAACATAATTGTATGAAGCTAGTCTCAATCCAGAATGTAACTACACTAAAGACAGACATTTGCTTGGGGGCAAATACATTATATCAGTCCATCTCCCTCCTTGCTCCAAAATAGACCGTTCAAACTTTTCTATTTATTCGTCTTCAAGATGAAATGTTTGAATATTCCCGTGTAGTCCCCAATACCCAATAATAGATCTAAGTTTGAAATTCGCTAGATCTTTGTTGAACTCTGAGTTTAAATCCTGGTTACCTCCATGTCGTGAGGTAACCCATGTTAGAAACTGCAAAGTGTCAAAACAATTCGCGTTTCCGCTTTCGAAAACAAATCAATACAGCAATAGCCCTGGATATTTAATTAGTGACCCTCCCACCCTGCACAGATTCAGTCACAATCCTACGTCCGATTTCTTGTTCTTACAGATGACCTAGAGGAGGAATACATGTGTGGGTTTGCTAAACGATGCAGGGTGATGTTTTGCCCTCCACACCTCCGTGGAGTCACAATCGCTGCTGCAGCAGCAGTCATTTTTTGTGCTGTCATATTCGCTGTCATATTCGCTATAGTATCTTTGGAAAGCAATGCAAAAATCCAACAGGTCAGTCTATTCCTTTAATTGAATAGAAATAGTAATAGACATAGTATAGTTTCATCTGTGTTATGCTCTTATGCTGACTTTTGTAGGGGACAGCCTTTGTTTCTATGGCTTGTGTTTTTGGTGCTGGGGTCTGTTTGTTGGCCCCGGGTAATTAATACATGTAGCTGTACTTGTGGTCAACGCAAACAGAGAGGTCAACAATAATGAAAAAAAACTAGAAATTTACAAAAAAATATCATTATACATGTAAATAACATCTACTCAAAGTAGTACTTCCAAAATCACCACTAATTATAATACCACCATGTTTTAAATCATGGATTCGAAAATATCTATTGATAATGCATTACATACAATTTAAATATCCACGGATTTTGCGACATTCTTTGAGAAGTAATCGATAAAGGATTACAAAGTTGTACCGTCCTTTTTATCTTTAGGACTGCAAAGAGCCTTGTTGGGAGAACATACCACCAGTGTTCACAGATAAAATGGGACTGAACCGGGTTTGTTTTCCATTATTGTTTTGTATAACCAGTGTCATACATCTTTGTATATTAAAAAAATACACTCAAAATGTAACAGCAGCTGTTGTATATACTATTTAGGTGTATATTGACAAGATGAAGGAAATGATCGTCTCGTCAACTACATCAACTACGTCTGCTCTACTTCTGAAAACCAGCATCTCTCCACCAACGACCGGACCCGAAGTGACCGAAACTTTGCTGTCAGATGTGACGACCACACCACCAGGGATGACAACCACACAGCCAGATGTAAGTTGTTGTTTTAATAATCGCAAGACGTGGTGACGGCACACTCAGTTTTTTTTCAACTGATATTAATGCCGCCACCAACACAGGGGACAATAGATACTCATCAGTGCAAAATGCCTTTCCCAGGGGCACAAGATCTGTGGCATGTCAGGACTCGAACCCGGGACCTCTTGGTTCCGAGTCGTGCACCCTGCCGCTACGCCACACAACCCCACCACAAGACTTAGTTGTAGATGTAAGTTGTGCGCCCTTTTATCCCTCCTGGTCTTTTCCTCTACCCCTTCCTCTTTGAACAATTGAAAAACATCTCATGTTCTTAAAAAAAAGAATTTGAAGACTTCCGAGAAGTATGATATCCCCGGCTTCCTGAATTCCCCCATGTCGCCATTTTCCTACCCTACCCTGTCAGGAAGTTATTATTTAAAACTTATAAAGAGAAAGGTGAAATATTCATTCCCATTTGACAGCTGCATTTACTGTGATTAGTAGTAGTACGATGCGGCTTGAGTCTTCACACAAATGTGGAGGTAACCCGCATTTTTCTTCACATAACTTATTTATTATTTTCTAGCCATTGCCTCTCTCTACTGAAGAGATGATATTCAACAAGGCCCAGACTGAAGGACAAACATCGCCAAAAACCACCAAGAAAGGTAAGGCTAAAAATCGATCATTTCTTTATATAATTAACTTAACTTCTTGGAAGGGTAGGAGGAGGGGAGCAAGAAGCATCGCCTATATGAGCCTTGGGAATAAAACCACCCATACAGTCATTCTACGAAAAACTGTTCTGGAAAACTACATTAAATGTTTTTCCAGAAAAATGTGTTCGTAACAGTGCCAGTTTCAAAACCTCCATGGGATGCTTTCCATTAAAAAGTACTATCAAAATACTCAGGAAGGCATAGCCAAAGTAGTTTATTCGGTGGTTTCATAGCAACTGACAAGGATTTATCTCACCATGTACACCGAGGATTAGGCTGGTCATGAACCATTGATTATTTACCTTAAAATGTTTTATTAATGTAAAAAAAAATGTTTCTAGCATCTTGTCCTGGAGGTTTTACTAAATGGCGAGGAACCTGCTACAAGGCGTTTGGCACCCCGAAGAAATTCTGGGCCGCAAATGAGCATTGCCGTCGCTATGGTGGCACCCTAGCCATGCCTAAAGACGCTGCCACAAACAGACGCCTCATCTCTCTCATGAGACGCTTCATCCACCAAGTTTTCTTCTTTGGACTCCATGATGAGGGGAGAGAAGGACGCTTCAAGTGGATAGATGGTACCAAACTTGGGAGCTTCAGCTCGTGGGGTCCGGGCGAACCAAATAATCATCGAGGCAGGGAAGACTGTGTCGTCTACCTCCGTGTGTACAGGAAGTGGAATGACTTCTCCTGCAGCAACTCGGGATACTTCTTATGCCAAGTGGCACCAGGTACTTCAATGAGTATACTATTTTTGACACAGGTTTAAACTCTGGGCATTGATGCATCACTGTCACCAGCTTAAGCTTAACCATGTTTATGTAAAGAAACTCGCCACTGATTGTTCGTGTATGCTTTATTACAACTTCTAAAATACATTTTATTGATAAAACATTTGCCTTTACAGGTCGCACATGAGCGACGGACCGAGATCACACCTCCTCTGCTAAACATCATCAAAGTTGAAGAAGCCACAAGTGAAATACAATATCATTTAAGTGAATCACTAGGCCGTTCGAGCCATTTTTTAAATAAATGTTCTTATGGGTCATTATTTACTTACGGCTATTCCAAGATCAGGGTGTACCAGGGTGTTGCACAAAAGTTTTTCAATTTTTTTTTACGTCAATACAAGAAACTGTACTATAAGTGATACCATGCATGATGCTTTTTTTTTTGGATAGCGATCAGCGGTTTAAAAGTTGTGCTCCTTCAAATTCGATGCCAATACTTTAAACTGGTTTCTCATCTTGTATTTGAATACTGTCCGTTTAAACTTGGTGAAAATGAACACTTTCAGAAGGAAACAGCTGTCGTTTAACTTATTATTATGGAATTACATTTCAAGGCTTTATTATATATTCATTTAAATGACTGTATGAAAAAAGAAAAATGTGCTTACTTGTGTGAAATATTGCGTAATGGATACCGAGACTTTTGCAATGGATGACTTTGTAATGATCTAGTAAGATGGGTCCAACTGTACAGATAAAATAAGCCTGCAACATTTAAGTGGTATGATTATATACTATGATTAGTACCCATAGTAACAACGGAAATATAATTATAAGGAATCTATGTAATAATAATAGAAGTAAAATTTCCACAAAGTAATAATATAATGGTAACAATGGAAGTAACAATGAAAGTAACGTGAACCAGCATAGTAACAATGGTGAAGTAAAATTACTGCATGGTAACACTACAAATAAAATGACTGTAAATTAATAGTGAATGATGTAAAAATGTTATATCCATCTTTCCTGATGCGCATGATGCTACTGGTAGAGTTTTCTTTCCTTTGCCAGTATGTCAAGTAAAATTCCAGAAAATTTCAAGATGGTTCAGGCTCAATACAAGATCATCTAAGTGAATCAATTAGCCGTGTGAGCCTATCCAGATGTTCTTATGGAAAATTTTTTGCTTATCTTATATCCAAAGTAAAAAAACAACAACAACAACAACATCAATTTGAATAACAAGTGTGACCAAAAGTTTTTAAATGCAGCAGAGGTTCAACTATGTAATTCTGCATTTATAATAATCCTATTGATTAAGCTGTGTCTTTTCTTGTGAATAGTGTTGATTTTTGAATTTGTGAAAACTTTCAGAAGAAAGCAACTGTCTTGTGACATTTTCTTATAAAATTAAGATTTAATGATTCATTATATAAATGTCTGTAGGAGAAAAATGTTTGAAATATTGTATAATGTACACTTTTGTAAATATGACGTTGTTACAAGTGAAAGAACTCCGAATTGCAACATTTAAAGTAAAATGATTATGCATGGCAACATTGCCAGTAAAATAAATAGCACGTATACTAGCAATGGAAGAATCTGCCTAGTAATAATGGGAGTAAAATTAATCTGCAAAGTAACAATGGTTTGGCCGGCCGAGAAGCGGTCTGGAGAGAACGGACGACCCCGCGTTAACCCGGATGTTAATGATTCTCAGTGGCGGGAAGCTCACATCCGGGTACTTCGACCCCACTCGAACACTCGAGACCGCTTCTCGGCCGGCCGAGCGAAGTGTTCTCAAGATTGGGCGCGATTTGTACGACGCCATTCGTCAGATAGGGGGCCAGGAATATTTACCAGAGCATAGGCTATATGAGGTTGTGTATCGTTGCCGTACAGGGTATGTAGACACGACTTCCGAGTGACTACGCACCGGGGCTGAGCGATATCCGCCATTGGGTACGGCGAAAAAGTACAGGGTACGGCACGAATTACCGGGTACGGCTTGAAATTTTCGCGGGTACGGCACGAATTTCCGGGTACGGCCAGAATTTTTGAGCGGGTACGGCTTGAATTTCCGGGTACGGCTTGAAAGGAGTTTGATGGGGGTGATCACAAGGACACGGAGAAATGACGGACCGAACTCATTTTTTCTCAATTTGTGCCCTAATCTTGTCATATGATGCTTATTACCTTTTGTTATATTTAAATTTCGAATTCTGTTTTTATCTTCTCAATGTTTGATATCGATATTTTTTACTAAATTTCTGTTACAATACATTTAAAGTCGCGTTCTTATTATGATGGCTATACTCAATATTTTTTGTACATTCTTCATTATCATTTATTATTATATTTCAAACTGGTGGAGAAGAAGATTGAGTATCAGCCGCGATTTATTTTAAATAATAGACATTGTGACCGAAAAATGTGCCTCATGCTGTGCAAAACGCGCTCTAACAGAGATATTGATCTTGTATGCAATCTTGCCCAAGATCCACATTTTGCCCTACAATAAAAAAAGAGCTACCGCTGTTTCTGTTATCTGTTGGATACCATTAATCATCGCCTTAAGCTAATGGAAAAAAACATAAATATCACCCTTCACAGCCTGCTGCGCAACTCATTACCGATACAGGCGGCAGCTGTGCATTTTTGAACTTGGGGCAAGATGCGAATCATCAAAGATACCAGAAATTTTCAGAGGTACACTTTTCTCAAAATTAGGGGGTGAGCGATTTTCATACATTTTCATATTCATTCAATTTGATTGATCATGAAATCTCAGGCACATATAATGGCACGAAAAGGCGCTAAACTGTGTATTAAAAAGCTACATATAGCAAATAAAAACGCTACATAAAGCAAATTAAAAAGCTGCATATAGCAAATGAATAAGGTTACTAAAAGGACGGTCACAATTGTGTACACGTAAAATTAACCCCAACGCTCTGAAAAGACAAGTCTAGAAATTAACATCAGCTGTACATACTATTATGGCTTCACCACACATTTCGCCCAAAATGAAGAAAGATACATTTAACGGAATGGCAGAAGCAGGAGAATTAAGAAACACAAAGAATAACAATATATGTCATCCATACATATGGTATGCAGTGAAATCTACATACCTTCTGCTCACTTCCAAACAAATCCCATGGGAATAGTAATATTGATGATGGTAACAGTCACTCAGAACCATGATGAGTGTACTCCGACAGAAGCGGTGACAGCAACGATTTTAGAAGGAGCAAAAGGTCTAGTGACGAAGCCGAGCGAAATCTACCAGGTCCCGGGGTAGTACACTCCCGTGGGAAATTCGGGAAACCTAACCCTCTAAAACATCAAACTTAATGAAATAAGTTGGGAAACTTAACTTTTTGTTGGTACTTCGACTCATTCGGCTAAGTTTGTTATCTCCTTGTTGCTAGCTTAAACCGTACGAGCTTTCTAGTAACTATTGTCGCAAAACCGTAGTCTTCATGATAAGAATCTCAAGTAATAATGTCAGGTAATGCAATTTAAATGTAGAACTGAAAGATGTCGAAAGAGTAAACTGCCTTATCTGTATTAGCGCCACTAACTCTCACTGCAGCAAGCATCTTTTCTTCCTAAGTCAGAAATATCAAGCTTAGGCAAGCTTCACTTCACTAACTTACACAATAGGCAAATCATTTGTTACAAAGGGTTCAATTTATCTATGTATCTTTATTGCTTTCAGATTACTTTTAATTGTAATTCACGCTGCTAACTGAAGCAGCATCTCTTTCCTCCCAAAGTCGATATGAATACTGCACTTGACTTAATGCCCCAATACGCGGAACAGAGGTTACAAAGGTTTAGTTCGTGCATCTATTTTCCTTGCTTTTAGATTAATTGTAAATCAAACAACGTTCCAGCTAATGGAGGTTGCTACTGTATGTTATGCCTTGCAAAGACACAAACGAACAACCCATTCGTAGTATGGTATCTGTTGCATCTAGGATGCGCTCCTTATCCAGAATACGCTCTGAAGCACCTCCTGCATAACCAAGGGTGTTTATCAGACAGAAATGTGCACTTAGCGTACTTGGGGGAGAAGCTTCGTGTTTTCTTAGGCGACTATCTTGCATGTGATGTTCTGGGTCAGAACACGGCAATCTTTGTCTCCCCCCCCCCCCCGCGGAGATTGTGTAGAATCAATTCGGCTGCTGGTTTTAACAAATCTACACAAAGATAGCGACACTTCGTCACGTATGTGACCGTCCCAGAATGTTTATTGGGTCATGATTTAACAAATACAAGATACAACGGTATCCATTCTCAACGTCTCTAGCAAAACGACATTGTCACTGACGTAAAACGGTTGTTTGTTTTGTATTGAAGACTGGCTCTAGCTATTTATTGGTGGTACAAAAAACTCGTTGTGTCTACTGGCTTTTTTCTATTTTCAACTCTTCAAGTATGAAACGATATTCAAATGATTTAAAATTATACTTGGGGTATAACACCTGGGTCATGTTCAATGTATTTATATTCACAGGTCATAGAAATCCAATTTGGTTGTTCAAATGTCATTCAATAGTGCCCATCCAGTGGAAAAGGGTTATACACATGTCACGCATCAATCTGTATCGTATATGCATTAAGTTGAAAGCATAGCTCGTAATGGACCTATACCATTATTACGTCACAGTTTGTTTACCTGTTCTAAAGAACATTCTAGAACGGTCAGTTAAAGAATAAAGATCATTTTAAAGTTTTCAAAGTAAGGTATGTCTGATTTTTGCTGCGTCTAGTTGTGTTGACACAGCATTACATGCTGCATGGGTGATTTAGTTGTGACGTTAGACGACAGTAGTAACGTCACTGTATTAAAAGCCTTATATTAGGCTAATGCTACACAAACACACACCGCGCTACGCACCCCTGTACAATATGAACGTCGATTGACCGGCAGTCATTGCGGTAAACAAACTGTGACGTAATAATGGTATAGGTCCATTGGGAATGCGGTAAGCAAAGAGAGTGTTTTACTGCCATGCGTCATGGCAATTTCGACTAGTAACAGTCCCCTTTCAAGTGCAAAGAGCTGTAGTGTAGGCACACGGGGCGAAAGGTGAAACCCTGACCTTATATTCTTATAAAGGTGTTCTTTCCAATTGGCATCCCGCGCACAGCAGGCACCTCTTAGAAGTAAGTTCCACTCTGAAAGCTTCTTTCCCAGAACAACATCACTATGGAATAAGCTACCTCGTGATTGTTTCCCTTATGAGTGTAACCTTAAACGTTTGAAGTCTAAGGTCAACAAACTTCTGTCCTCACTGGCAGTAACCCAAAACATTTTCGGTGGCTCCCAAGAGCCTCGTTTTGTTTTGACCTGTGAAGTAAAAAAAGTACCTACGGGGTTGTTTTGATCCCAGTCGTGCCTAGCAATATAATCACCACTGAGAACTCGCTGCCACCAAGTACGTACAGTTCGGGCAGCATTACTAGATGGCTTTAACCAATGTCTGCGTTCAGATGTCCGAAAATTAGGTGTATCAGGTCATATGTAGTTTCTAGCTAAAGCTGCCGCTGCGCCGCGTGCCTGCGCAGCTTCTCTATTACGCCGAAGAGGGGTGCAGAGGGCAATTTGTTTTGAACTTTAATGAGGATAACTGGAGCAGAGGTTTTCTTTTTAGTAGGTAGGTGCCTTTCAGAATGAATAACGTAAGGATATGCATAATATGCAAAACAGAGCGTCTTTGCATGGTTATTAATTTCATTATTATGTACATCTTAGAATCATTATATCGCTTTAAGTTGTGGCAAGGTATAATAAAGTAGTGTGTTGTTGTCACATTTCCGACGAATTTGGACCAAGTGCTAACGTCACACATTCGAAAATAATCATGTGTCTGAAGGTCAAATACACCTTCTGGCAATTCTTTAGACATGCCAAGCCAAGCTGATATAGATACAGGTGAATCTGAATCTTTTAGATATATTTTTTTTTCTATTCCAACATGTAATGACCAGACGTGGTGGGGACACACTCAAGTTTTTTTTCTACTTATATTAATGCCGCCACCAACACACGGGACAAATGCACGACAGGACAATACTCATTTACACCTGAGCTAAGTGAGGAAAGTCGTGTAAAGTGCCTTTCCCAAGGGCACAAGATCGGTGGCATGTCAGGACTCGAACCCGGGACTCTTAGTTCCGACTCGCGCACTCTGCCGCTACGCCACACGACCCCACACTTATTGGTCTTAAATGTTATGATTTAAGACCAATATGCAGCATGCCTTGTTGGCCTCAGCAGGTCTATCTTTCTCAACAGTTCTTCAGGTTTTGGCCGCTTTGACGGGTCTACTATCCAGCAGGATCTGATGATGCGGTACACCGGCAGCGGACAGTTTTCCGGCTGCTGCAGACGGACGCCTTTCTTCAGCAGCTCCAACAGTGTGCAGACGTCCGGGTGCATCGGACCGCCAGCGTAGCGTGGGTCCTCCCCAAAACTGGTGATCTCCCACAGCAGCACGCCGTACGACCACACGTCACTCTCACACGTGTACACCCCGTCCCGTAACGACTCCACGGCCATCCACTTCAGCGGCAACAGTTCCTCCTCCCCGCCCTGCTCGGTGCGTTTGTACGCCGACGACACGTAGACGTCACGCGACAGTCCGAAATCCGCGATCTTGGCCACTTTTCTGTCGCTGATGACGACGTTACGGGCTGCGATGTCCCGGTGCACGATCTTCAGCCGTGCCAGCTCCGATAACCCACAGGCTACGTCAGAGGCAAAACCGAGACGTTCTAACAGTTTCCTATCCCCCGTGATCTTGCACTGTTCACGCAAACTCCACAGGTACCGCCGAAGTTCTTCATTGCTGGCGTACTCTACAATAATGTACTGGGGGTCTGACTTGGTCACAACACCATAAAACTTGACCACGTTCGGGTGTCCCTCTTTGTCCTCGTGGATTCTGGCAAGGATGTCCATTTCGCGCCGAAAGTCGCGGACGGCTGACCCAGTCATGCGGTCAGGCCGGATACATTTGGCGGCCACCAGGACCTCGTAGCCTAATTCCAGCACACGCAGTCTTGCCCGTACCACATGACCGAACTCTCCCTCACCGATCATATGTTCGAAACTAATGTCCTCTTTCTCCAGTTCCCATGGCGAAAGGGTTTCCATCTCCAAGTCCACTGTTGTGTATTCTGCGTGGTTTGAGTACAGTTTTACCAAAATCGAAACCACGATACAACCGACTACGACCATGGAGGGAAGAACGGTTGCCAACAATTTTACAACGTCTTGATTACCTTCAGGTTTCAGATCGTTTTGACAGAATTCACCAAATTGCCCTTCTGCACAAATACAGGTGCCATTGACCGGGTCACACGGGGTGTTGTTTTGACAATAACAATTCCCGCTGCAGTTCAGCCCAAAGGTGCCAGGTGCACAGATGCCCTCACACCTGTCTCCATGACGACCGGGAGGACACAGACATCCCTCCCACCTGTCACATGTCCCTCCGTACTCACAGTCACACACCTGTCTGCAAAACTCCCCGTAACGATTTGGAGGACATTCAGTGGCGTTTATGACGAAAGTTGCATTAAATACTCCCCCGCCTGTAGCTTTTGTCTCACAAGTGTACTCACCATTGTCTGATTCTGAGAGCTGAAAGTTGATGGAACTGTTCTGTACCGCCTTTTCTTCAATGATTTTTGTGTTGGGACCTTTGTTTGTTGCTTGATAAAGCCATGTTATTTTTCCTACGTCGATGTGTGGAGCCAGGCAGGTCAAGGTCAGATTTGTACCAATGTACTTTACGTCTAAATCGCCAGGGGTCGCGATGATGGCGACCTCGGGCCATGGGATGTCACAGGCCCTCCCTCTCCAACCCGGGCGGCACTCACAGGCACCGTTAAAGCCATGACACCGAGCACCGCTCTTACAAACACAGTCTTTATCACAGTACAGACCGTATTTACCCACAGGACATCCTGTAATATTGAACTCATGTACGGACTCCAATTTAAAGGGCATTGTCAAACCACTCACTGCCTCTAACGTGACATTAGTTCCACACTGTACCAAATACGAAGAACTGGACCAAATATCATTGAGCTCTAAAAGCGAAACATAACGGAAACCTTCTGTCATGTTGCACTGATCATTCTGTGTCGCCCACGCAGGCAACGTATTATTCAAGGCAATATCGACAACTACCAGGTTGCCTTTGCTTTGTAACTGTCTGTCGTGACATTTGAACTCGATTCTGCCCTGATGACGCTGGTCAAGTGCCGGGAGGAACACCTGTGCATCAGGGCTTAGTTTGGTCAGAGCAACGCACAGTCGCAGGGAGCAGTCTTCGTGCATGGCAGCATTAACGGCCTCGTAACGCCAGTATGGTAGAAAGTCAGGGTACGGTCGTGTGTCTCCATTATATATTATATGGAAATATCCATTACTGCTCATTACCATATAGTTCTCTGTTGTGTCATGACCAGGTAGAATGGGTGTTTCACACCGCTTGTTGTAGCAAGGTGGGTATCCCGGTACGTCCATTACCAAGACAAGGAGGTTTACATGCCAAAAGCTGCTTTCTCTAGTATTTGTCAGCTCCAGGGACAGATTGTATAGCGGGGTTAACTCGTAGTCCAGCGGTGCTGCAACTGTTAGCGTCAAGGTCTCAACATCCACCCCAAACCGTCCAAATGCATCACCTTGGGTGATATTCACTGTCCAGAATGTGCCACTGTCTTCTTCAAAGCTTACGCTGTCAACAACATCTGTCAGACGCTTGACTGTACTGCCGACTGACGCATCCTCACGTATTGTGACGTTTTCGGACAAGACCACGAGGTTTCTATGGGCCTGTGAGGCTGGGAGCAGGCTGGTCAACAGAAGTACAGTGCAGAATGGAACACACGCCGCCATCTTTTCAGATCATTGCTTGTAGTAGAAGTTCCACTCTACTAGTTTTAAATTTGTTGATAGGACTTGACTGCAGATAAAAAGAGAAATATATGTCAGGATAATATCAGATATTGAGTATAACAACAAAGGCAATTAGTATCCATTCGAGTGCCTTATGTTTGTAAATCTAGCCTACCCTACCACTCTTCATTCTACCACTCTTCGCTTCATATTTCACATGGTTTGTTTCAGATGATTTTTCCATTAGTCCAACTAATGTTCTGAACGTGCCAGAAATGCCGCTAGCTATAACACAAATATACATATATCTGTCAGGTAAGGCGGACGGATGACAGTACTACGGTCAATATTCCGGTACTACGGTCCAATGATTGACAAACTGCAATGGACTCTAACGATGCAGACTGTTGCATTTCATAACTTGTTTTTCAAAGTATGTCTTGCAATGGATCAAGTTTTGGACTACAAGTGCCCGCGCCAACTTTGATGTCGGATAGCGTCTGAACGGCTTGCGCTAGAACATCGCTGCTGTACCTTACAAATAAAGCCGCTACATTACACTTAATGTACACAATTGATCTTGTTTTTTCAAACGCAGCTACCTGCAAAATATCATGAAATGCATGCACCATACCGCAGGTTATAGCCGATTAAAAAATCGCCAACCTCGATATGTGGTGTGATTAAAACATAAACTTCTCGACGAAGGCAATTATATTAAAGATTGCAGATTTTGCCACTTTGGAGTTCCTCATTCCTTTCATGGTCTTATTCCTCGTTTTGCCTACTTACACTTGCTTCCCCCTTCGGCTTAATACCTTATCTATAACTTCAGTACTTTTTCAGTTGCCTTTATTATGTTTAGTTTTATCATTATATTATCTGAAGGTAAACAGAACCCTGCAAATGATTCGTTACCCACGGATTCTTGTTCCTCTTTTGGCCCACAGAACCAAACTGGCAAAGGGGCTAACCGTGTCTTGTATGCCACTACAAAGAGGTCGTTAGGTACATTGTGAGTTTTTCAAGGCTTAACAAAGATGCAGCAAACCCAATATTGCAACACTACCTGTCAGCAATGTTTAGTGAGGAAAGTAGTACGTCGGGATCCTGCCAGGGAGTTCAAGCCACGACTTTTGGATTTTCAATCAACATTCTTTTACGCAAAACGTTCCACCACTAGGTTCTAGCTATCTCCTCCGGTTTACATCATTGTTTCAAAGTCCTTCTACAGGAACAGTTTCTTTCCCCAACCTGCAAATTTAGCGACACCCTCCTCCCAACAATTGCTCTCCTCTCGAATTCTATCGACAGGCTTTCAAAATAAACACCTGCCTCAGTCAATGTGGTGGACATACATATCTGTCGGACCTATGTATCTCAGTGCCTAGAAGTGATCCATTGGGTTCGAGCTGAGCAAAACCGTTGAAAATAACACCAAAATAATAGATACACGTACCCTGTTCAGTTCCATACTACCAAACATGCCATCCATCCACTCATAAACGCCGGATCGCTTGTCAAAATGACTCCTCGGCTTCTGAGTCCGTTATGGTTCTGATTGCTTTTGGCACAAAAATAGGAACTTACATCAGTTCCTGTTCCTGTTTTTACCAAACCAGCAAACAAAACGCCCTTTTTGACATAGTAAATTATGACTAAACAAACTTGTACGTGATAAAATGGGCTTTTATGATTTGGTACTAAGCTGATAACATCGAGGTCAGAGTAACTGTCTTAAATACGGTGCCATTAAAATGTAAAATGTATTATTGATGATTGATTATTGACAAACCTAATTTGTATACCTAATGCGTATTTGGTCGTCGCAATTGACAGCAGCTTGACCTATTAGAGAAAGCGTGGATGAAAAATCAGGACCTCATTAGCATAATTTATCTTGAAATTCTAGCATAGCTTCTTCGTTAAAATAAAACTATCTTTGCGTTGAGAATAAAACAAAATTATATAACTGAAATGAAAATGAGGATCTTATTAATAATGGGGATCTTATTAAAAAAGAGAAAAATTTTCAATTCGTCAGTCGTGTGGGTTACGATCTTTTGACGAAGGTATGAGGTCACGGAACTCAGAAGTTTAGTATTTCGTCCTCACAGCACGTTACAACTCAGCGCCACTTCAAAACTACTAAGCTGATTAGCCTCTTAAAAGTTACCACAATTATAACTTTAAGTCGCACTTTTTCCTGGTACCATGAGAGATTTCAGAACATATTAGCCACCCTATGACCCTATTTGGGGTACTGAAGAGGAAGAAGAAGAGCACATGTCTGTGTTCGTCTTGTCTCCATCGCTATTCGAGCTGACCACATTAATCGGATAAAGGCTGACTTTATTTTCCCACCTCCCGCCTGTCTGCCATGCAGGGATCAGTGGCAGACGGCAGGTTAGAATATCTACATGTATATGTAGAGTGAGAGTGCATTATATGTTACAAAATGACAAGCAATTTGATCTTTCTATAGTATAATCTAAGATGAATGTCTACCTCCTCATTGGCGGCGATGTGACCTCATGTGGCTTCTGAGTTTGAAACATAATTCACAAAGTCATCCATACTTCGGGGATCGGTTTTACGTTTTCCGGACTGCAGTTACTGCCGTTTTTCTCCTTTAAAGGCTGTAATAGCTATGAATGTTCTCTAGGCTGCTCTTTCGGTAGCTACTAGCCGTTGTCTTCAGTTGGGGTGGCTTACTGCTTACTTGAGTGTATCCTTAGGCCTTCCTCTTTTCCTTGAGCCCAGCTTTAGCTCCCCATGAATACGTTGTCTAGGAATAGCACTGCCAGGCATTCTGATAACATACCCAGTCCAGCGGTTAGAGGGCTACAGTAGAATTGCTTTGACATTTGTGCATTGGGATAGGCCTAAAATCTACTGGTTAGTGATTCTGTCGTGCCAAGAAATATTCATGCTTCTACGTAGAGACCTCATTTGGAACTGTCCAAGCCGTTTGATATTCCTGTTGTATAAGGTCAAGCTTTCGCCTCCATACAGAGGTGAAGAAAGTAGTACTGGGTTGTAGATTTTGCTATTAGTGGTCGATTTGAGGCCTCTTTGTTGGGCAACCTTCACCCTCAGTAGTCTCCTGAGTGCCTGAATTGCTTTTTCGGATCCTTGTTATGCTCCTAGCTGTTGCCCAGGGATCCATTAGCAAAAGGGTGTATTGAATCGCCAATCGTAGCAGTTGCTTCCTCTCTCTAAAACCCCACACACCCTAAGGAACAATGTTCAATGAGTTATCCATGTGTATAACATGTAGTCAAAAATACATTATTCACACACTATCAAAAAATACCCTTTGAAGGCGATATAGCTTGTTATTTTTTAATGGTTTCTGTGAAATATTCTGAAATGATAAGATAAATAATGAAAATATTTTGATCTACTTACATATATTAAAACCAGTAACATAAAACTTGTATTTTTATCTTGCTTGTAGGAGTTAATCTGCCAAACAAGTTAAAGTTTCCTTTTTATTTTGCTTTCAGTCTCACACATATGGCGATGGACATTAAAACATGTAGTTAAAATATAGAAAATAAGATCCACACTTTGCCTCCCATGAGTCATGTGCAATGGTACAGTCCTCGCAAACAGTGCCAGAATCAGAACTGGAGAAGGACGTGAGCTAAACATACGACTTATCGTATTTGTTTCGTTTTTTAAAGAGAAGGTGCCACTTCCAGACTTAACTGCTTGAGCTGTTGACTCAGGTGTAGATCAACAGAATGTCCAATCGTTCAAACGTCACGTTTGGACCCATCCCGGTGTCTCCTCTGTCTACAGAGGCCCTGACTGTAGTTACCGTTCTCCACGCCGTCATCTTCATCATCGGCACGGCAGGCAATGCCACCGTGTGCGTGGTGTCGTTCTTCGGCGCGTCGGCTCGGAAGATTCAGCGGACGCCGATCAAGGTGTTCCTGGCCAACCTGAGCGTGGCGGACCTGCTGTTTCTGCTGATCAGCGTCCCCGTGGCCCTTGTCAAGACGTGGATCCCTTATCCATGGGTTTTCGGCTCAGCAATGTGTAAGTGAAAGACACACACACACACACACACATGGACATATTGAGTGTTATAGTTGTTTAATGCAATTTTTTATTTAGAACAGTACAACAAAGAAATAACATTGATTAAGAAATCTGTCTTATATCGATTTTTACTGTCATTTTTTTTAGCACAATTTCATTATTCCATACTTAAAGCGTTTGAAGCATCACCAGAACAAGCTACGTGAGGCGCCTCGATCATCCATTTATATTTTGGGTACCACCCATAAAGAATCAGCCTACGGTACAAAACAATCGACCGTTTTCCGTCAGTGACATTGCATATTTGCCTCACTGATATGCTATGAAATTTGCTATGGAAAAAGATATAAATCGTAAGATCACAGGAATGACAAAAAATTGACTTTGAAAATCGAGTTTTGCCACCCTGAAATAGCATCGGATGCCTTAAGGTTTGAATCAGTAGATGAGCATTAATGCTGCGAGGCAAAATAAAAACCATCGAACAGCAACCAGGAAGAAAGCAAATGATCTGCCCGTGTAAGTATATATCCAAGTGAATCTATGATGAGCAAACAGCGATTTCTTTCATGCCCAACATGACCATTTTATGAAATTCACCATAATATGAATCATGACAGGATATAATTTTACCCTCTGCTGATTTTTATTAAGTGTTCACAGACGGAGTTTTTTCATGACGATAGGTTAATTTCACGCTCTGCTGTTCTGAAGTGTTCAAATAAAGATGATGCCATCATGAGTAGGCTGACACATGCTTCAATAGATGTAAACAATTCAGTGTAATCTACAAATGTCAGTATAGGTTATCCCTGGGTTAGAGCCATTTCACACTCATTATACCATGGGTTTACAAAAGGAAATGGGAATTATTCTCTGTCCACTTACTTATTTTGGTGAAGCTCCCGCCCGGACCAAACTTAAAAAGAGTCATCCATTCCTTCTCCACCAGCGATTGGATTTCGTTTATTTCTATCAGGGTGGTGTCATACCCGGGTGTGATAATGTTCGATACGGTTCCGGCACAACTGATAAATATAGAATACTACACGGTATATTCCGTATCACCCGGGCTACCCGAGTTCGCCAGACCTCCGTTAGATTTGAATTCAATCACCAACTCCAGACAGTAGGGTTCTAGTACCGTCGCGCACTAGAACTGGGGTATGCCTCTACTCTTTTTGGACAGGTGTGGTGCGTTATTTAATGTGTCAGCGGTGTGGCTCCCCGCCCCTCCCAAACACGGTACCTCCATTTATCTTTCCATCCGAGAGACGACCCAACCCTAATTCAGGTGCTCGTTTTGCCCCGGAGTGAAGGGAGGAAAGTGTAATTACCTTTCCCAACGTCGGGGCATGTCATGGGGATTCGAACCCAGGACCTAGGGGTTCTGGGCCAACCACCCTAACCATTATGCCACACGACGCTATTTCTTGCCCCTTGACATGACGTGTCCATATCGGCTGTGCAGTGCCTAGAACACTCTCCCATCACTGAGGGAAGCTGGGAGTGGTCATTATCTCGACTTTGGGCCCAAGTTGAACGGAACAAGATACCCAAATGGGGGAAGGCCTAAAATATGGCCTGCTTCTACACTCTCCATTGGAAGTTTCCTTTATAGAATTTCCTTATGAAAAAAAAGTTTTGGAAATGATCTTATTTGCATTTTTTGTACATTCAATTTTTCCCCTTGCTGAATAACGTGAGCTATATATTTTTTCATTTCTACATTTCAAGAGTAGACATGGTGACGACATACTCGAGTTTTTTTCAACTTTTTTTCATGCCGCCACCCACACATACGTACAGAGGACAAATCCTGGACAGGGCAATACTCATTTTCCCCGAAGTGAAGTGAGGGAAGTCGTGTAAAGTGCCTTTCCCAAGGGCACAATATCGGTGGCTTTTCAGGACTAAAACCTGGGACTTCTTGGTTCCGAGTCGAGCACTCTGTGGCTACGCCACACGACCCCACACATGAGCCATATTTATAAATATGGCTTTCTCTGTATGAAATGTTAGAAAACATCTGTGGATTCTAAACCATTCCAATCACGTACTAACTACTGCCAAGTCGTTGAGAAATTGTTCCTGCCAACAACACTCAGAATGACCGCACAAAAATACCACGTACGCCTTCGCTGATTGTCAGTGTAATGGTTATTCAAATATCGTTTTTTTTACATATGCGTTGGGTCTGTAAAAACACGCCTTTGGTATTTCGTTCACGCTTCCCAGAGGTGATTGGGGTTTTTCTATATCGGCTTTGAGAAATCCCTCGCCATCGACAACGGAAAGCTAAATGTTTGTCTGACTTGTTTCTTTCTCCTTCTGCCACATACAATTTAAGTACATGCCACTGCGCTGTATTGATTGGGTAAGCTTGACCGACTACGTATAGGGATCATCTAAGCTGGCTTTGAGAGGTCCACTTATTCGTGTTCATCGTTTATAACATTGGGTAGTTAGACGTCACAGATTCTGCACTAAGCCAACTTAGTCCTATCCAACTTGCCATCTCCCGATGGCAAATTCCAAAATCCCGTCTGGTCAATTTCTGCCATTCATTTGGCCCTGTGAGATGTGAGGTGGATTCTGTTCATCAATCATGAGCGTTCACGAGAGGTCACAAAGGAAAGAAGGGATTTTAATTCTCCTGGGTACTTATCGCTAGATAATAAAAAAAAAACTCGTCGATAGTATATGAACAAAAGATGCCTCCTTATCCTGAGCAACACATGACTGACCTGTGGCTTTGATTGAGATTGAAATTCGAACGTTGTAGTAATTTCCTTCAACTTTTTCTTAAAGTCTCAAATCGGTTCATTACCGTCTGGTGGCTACAAGGTCCGGGCTGGGGATTTGCGGAAATTCAAAGGTCGAGGCTGAATACATGTGGCAATCTTGAATCCCTACTCTACCGTACGTAGAGTCAATAATCCCAGAGCACATGAGGCTTTGGTAGAAGTAGTTCTTTGTGATAACCACGCACCACGTTTCTAAGAATTTTTTACCCGTAAAAGATAAAAAGCTTTTTCATCCTGCGTTTAGGTGTAGCCAGCGATCTTATGACTTGGTCACAAGTACTTAACCTACGTACGTAGGTTGAGTCAATAATCGTAGAGCAGATTAGGCGTATGTAGAAGGGGTGCTTTGTGAGAACGCACAACGTTTCTGCGAAGTTTTACCGGTAAAAACTTTTGAATATGCGTTGAGATCTTATGACTCCACACAATTACTAAACCTAATATAAATGCGTGGTTTATCGTGAACCTTTTTGAGTAGTAGCTCTTACCAAACGCATTCCCCATTGTAATGCCAGCCTTCCACTTTTCGTACCTTGATTACAGCCTTAAAGCTAGCCATCAAGAGAGTGCATTTCAGTACCTTGCTACGGTTTGCAACGTCAACGTTTTAGATTTAGAAAATGAAATCTTGTCAAAGAAGGAAGGACATCTAATGGGCAATCAAATACTACGTGTCATTGAGACCTTTAAAGTAGCCTTATGGAGTTGCTTTATCGGACTCCAAAGATGTTGGAAAGGAAAAGTATAAAATATATGTGTTAAGCACTGCACGAAGGGCTTAGAGCTAGAGTTAAAGAGTTCATTTGCAATTTGGAAATCGGACTAGCAAGGATAACAGTCCACATGTAATCTTTGTCCCGACATAACCTTGAGCAGAAATTACGTGTCCACATTGGGATTCCACGAATGTGGCATAACGTTTGAACATCTACCAGGAGATCTAATATATCTAAATATCATCTATTGTAAGCTAGGAGCTTCTGTAGAAGCTTCTGTAGAAGCTCCTTGTTGTAAATGAATAATCCAGGCTCGATTTCTCACCAAGGTCACAAGTAAAATTGTAATGAAATGTGATTTGAACTTCGGGGATATGTTCAGCTATCTGTACGTATATTCTAATTGCATTTGGTATCATTTTGAGTATGGCAAGCCTTTTTTTATATTTTCGGAGAAAAAACGAAAATATTTGGCCCCTGTGCCCTAGTGTTACAACGAAATAACCATTGGGTCTTGGCTAAAAAAAGCAGGCTTGTACTTTAAGCACCCAATAAATTTGGCTAACGTGAACTAACAGGCCTAATTTTGTCCCTAATTACCGTGGTAATTCCTTAGTAATTAGTAATTCCCTATTGCGTCGCCTTGTGCATCACTCTATCCCCTTTAACTACCCTACTATTTAAACCAAATGACTTGAAACTTTGAATATGGCTGCCTTGAACACATACCCTATTAATGCATTTGGTACACACAACTTACATTTTTTTGCTATTTCTAGATTAAAAATGAACATTTTGTCCTATATACTAGGATATAGAAATGGTGACTTGGTATTCAAATGAAATTTGGTATGATGGTGCCAAAGGCATATCCGTCTTGTCATGTTTGACCCGCTCTAAGCGGCAGTGTAGTAAAGGCCAACTCATTTGCTAATTAGTTTCAGACTAGGGCAATCGCAAACACCTTTAGAAGTCTAGATTCGTTGCTTGCTCCAGTGTGAAATTAATTGGCTGAATTAGTTTGCCCTTGCTTTTCTGCTACCAAACCGACCTGAGTATTATCCCCCATCAATCACAATACGACGCTGTCTTTGTATCAGCAATCAGACAGATTCACTTGTCAGATTCAAGTTTTTAAACATGAGTATTCCCGTAAGGTCAATACACCGTGTATCTGATCTTCAATTGATGCCGCATCTGGATATTTCAATTTTTGACACAGAGTAAAATCAGACTTACTAAATGGACTACAGAATTAATTCATAATTAGCTTCAAGACTTCTCCATGACATCTCCAGGTCTTCACGACTGATTGGTACATGTGTCTATATATGAAGAGAAAAATCAGTTTATTTCAAGGTTAATATGATTACAGGCTTTTAATCTTCAATTGGACATAGCGCTTGGTGACTTATATTATCCACGGAGAGAACACTAAATAGATTTATTCTTCTATGATTTGATTACTGTGTTCAATAAAAGGGTCATCGCAGTAGGTTTGGATATGTCCTTATTACCAAGACGGATGGGTAGAAAGTTACAGTATTGAATGTTCGTAGGTTTATTTACAGTATGTTTGTTCATTCGATTAGTAGTTTTTTTGTTTGGTTGGCTATGAGCAAACTATTAAACGGGCGTCCACATGGGCTGCGGATTAATAGAGAACGAAAGAGGAAGGATAAAAAAGAACACGGTTTTGTAGGAAACAGGAAAGTACGCAAATGGATGATGCTATCTCTTCTTGGCTGATTAGAAGCATCACCATAGGTCTCCTCGAATTGATGACAGATAAGTTTAACTGTTTACTATAGTTAAAGACATCCAATGCAATTTTAGAGCAGCAAAACTGGAAATATGTCATGGATGTTGATGTACAATGACTTAGCGTTGCTTTAACTCAGTATGTTTAATAAATGACAATTCTCGTTTTCAAACTGCATTCGGTACCTTGGGTACCTTGAAATGTTTGTTTGCGATCTATATACATGTATATATGCACACTATTTCAGGTAAGCTGCAGCCTATGGCAGAGTATCTGTTCTACCACTCATCTGTTCTGACCGTGGTTGTGATCGCCGTGGAGCGGTACAAAGCCATCTTCTGCCCGCTGAAGATCAAGTTTCTCCAGCGTCGCAAACGTACAGCCGCCATCTTGTTCTCGATCTGGACCATCAGTCTCATATTCAGCATACCCTTCACACAGCTGGCCACACTGGTCCAACAGCGGCACGGGGAAGAAGTGGTGGACTTCTGCGAATTTCGAGCGGACAGTACCGCCAGTAAGCTGTACTATGTCGCCGTCAGTGTTTTGTTTTTCTTTGTACCTTTCTTTGTATTGGCAGTCGCGTACGTGGCAATATGGTGGCGACTCCGAGTCGCTGCTGTGAAGAGAAACAGACAATTGCAGGGTAGACGGGGAGAGTCAAACATACGACCTTCTCAAGACCAACCTAAGGAGGTTGTCATCCTTTTTCTTTCTTTTCTGATCTGCCTACTTCCACAGAGAAGTATTCAGCTGTGGATGTTGTTTGCTCCAAATGATGAAATCGAAGGTTTGGGGGAAGAAACCATCGCCATTTTGATAGTGTTCCTCCGCACTGCCCTTTATGTATATTGTACAATAAACCCTGCACTATACAATCTATTCGCTTCACAATTCCAGTTAGACTTTAAAAAATTCAGGAGTCTCAATGTGAAGAGAAGTGACCGGCTCAGAGGCAACGATATAGAAATGTCTTGCTACGGCTCTTGTAACGTTGTGTGGTCTCTTAGTTCCAATAATATGGGCAGACTGCGGAATTATACAGTTCCACCGGGTAGACCTAGACGGGGATCAGACGTACTGCAGCCCCAGAATACACGTTTTCTATCAGTTCGGCATTCCGCACAAACTGGGGTGCTGGCAGAAACTTGTTGCTGAGATATTAGCGTCAACATCATTGCTATATATGCTACCCATACAAAGTCATTCATGGCCACACGGCCATTAAAATGTCGCAGACGTTTCGCAGATATTGAGATATTCTTCTGCGTTATTATATCTTATAAAAAATTATGCATATCCTATACTACATGTATATAGGTCTTCATTGTGAAAAAATTTAAAAGATGTATGATGTATGAATGTATTGTTACTACATGTTTGAATGCAGACAGTAATTGCCAAGAGTCACTTTGATGTTGTTTTGTGCCTAATTAAAAGATAATAATAGATAAAATAAATAATAAGTTGTTTTGTCATTGTAATGTAGTCCGTGTGTATCATGTAAGCCCCTTGCTTATTTGTCGATCTTAACATAGCCATTAAGCAAGAAAAATGTTCCTCTAATCCTTAGAGGTTAATAGAATTGCAGTTACCACGTACGTATATTTGTCACTGGTCAATTCTGTTGTACAACTGTTACATGATCAGCAGGTAGTAAGCAAAAATATTGTTTTCAAAAAATAAAGAGGTACACGTAGAAGGTACGTGCATTCATTCATGCAGCCGGTGTCATGTACCAGGGAAGTAGCTTGGTGGATGAGTCAAGGGCATTTTCTGCACCAATCAAACCCCACCGGTGATCTGTCAGCCTCGCCTGTTTTCGACCCCTTAATCTAATTATTTGACCGTTGGGGCACAGATGACCTCAGAGCCTGTTTCCTCTACCCTTCTTGGTTTTCTGTTTTTAGTTCAGTGTCAGATCACTCAGATGTTATCCTCCCATCCGTTGCCTACCCTTCTTCCGTCCTCCCTGTACTGTTCCTTGTATGATAGTTTTTGACCGTAACACTTCGTTCTTTTTTTATTATTATCACAAGACATGGTGACGGCACACTCAAGTTTTTCAACTTAATCTTATTTGGAATAAAAGCAGTAACGTAACGTAACAGTACATGAAAAGTTTGAAAACTTATTTTTTTTCTCTTCAGACAGTGACTAGGTTGAAGTCTAAGAACATATCCCCATAGCTTATTTCACCATTTTCCCTGTTACCAGCGCATGGGAACACATTGAATTCTCTCATAATCTCGAATTGATCTGGCCTTCCTCAGATTGGATGGCTGAACCTCTAATGAAATGAGATGACATTTTGACATATTCATAAAGGTTAAGATAGGATGGTTGGCTCTGAGGCCAGGATTTCTTAATACCTTTCTCAGAATAATAAGCAGCCTGAGCCAACTACTTTGCTTCTAAGTGGCATGTCTGAAGATGGAAATGCACAGCTTAAAGTTTCGTCGTAGCGCTTTCAAAAGAACTAATGGAAAGAAGCAGATGTAATCACGTTTTTGAAGTGTTTAAATGTTATGAAAACCTCACGGCTGCCATCATGGCGCCTTGAACTTGGCAGCGGCTTGCAGTGAAGGGACCTGGAGGCGTAAAGGCCAATGTCATCGCGCAGACTAGTTCTAAAACGATTTGAAGCACGTCAATGCCATTGCCGGTAGCTTCACTTCGCTTGAGGCGTAAACATCAATGTAATTGCATATAAGAACGTTTAAAGCATACCAATGCCATTGCTGGATATTTTCCATTTGAAAACGAATATACCTAAGCTACAGTTAGCTTTAAAGGTATCCAATGCAATTTGAGCGCGGTAAGGAATTTTTAAAATCTGTCTGATATAGACATTTACTGCCATTGCTGAACACACGTTGTCATCATTTGATACTTAAAGTTTGAAAATAGCCACTAAAACAATCCACTTGAGTCGTCTCTTTATGTCTTGGTCATGGGTACCACCCACATATAACTAGAACAAGTCTACGATATATAAAAGCCTACGTCAGCGACATCGCGTTTTTGCAAGAACTTACTAGATTACAAGAAACTTTATCATATTATAACGATTGATGGAACAATATGTAAAACCACCAAAAATGTCATGTCACCGAAAAACCTTTATCTGCAAAAGCATGACAGGGCCTGTTTGGGACCCATACACGTGCAGCCAGATTCACCTACAATGTTGCAGGATTGAAAGACTAAAAGACTATTCTTGTGAACTTATGTTTTCTAGTATCCATATCTGTTTGTCCTGCCCGTTGCACGTTGCTAAGGTGACGCCAGAGAGCGCTCCTTCCAGGCAGTAATGCGTGTAGAGATGTAACAGCGTCCGGTCCTGCATGTGGAGCAGAAGAATGCGATGGCGTCAGTACAACTACAACCTCCTGCTGTTACCATTATTTTCAAGGTCTTCTATTCTAGCTGTGATGCTACATGCAACATGTATAGCATCAGGTACACATACATATTAACTTTGTCTCTTTTATTCTATTGCTATCAAATAGATGTAACAGTAATGTTAAAGAACAATTTATAACAAGAGAGATACCCAGTTCGTAATTGTAAAAGTTTAATGAAATGTTATATATTATTTTTTTATGTCAATAATCCGATTTAATGTTTAGTAAATATACATACATATTTACGTCTGTGTCTTGCTACCTTACTACATAATTACCTTCGTGTACAACCAAAGCTGATCTTGGACAACCTTGCTCGGACCTGTGCAGTGTGCAGTAACGACATCTTGCGAACCCATTCCACAGTGCAGGCAGAGGTCCCAGTTCCGACCAATAGGAGTTCTTAGCTCGTGATCTTTCGTGTATTCAAAGAACTGGAAAAATAATTTACTGTGAATTTTTAAGCTTTTATTTCTATTATTTTAATTTTTAATGGGGGTTAATTCACGATGTAGTGTTCACGATTTTAAAAGTTAAAAAATAAGAATAATAAGCACCAGAAGAAAAGTTTAGCTAAAAAATAATCATATATATATGCATATATATGCATGTATGGATACATGCACGTAGTGGCACGTGCATGATCGTTTGAGTTGGTGCGCGAAAGTCAACGATTTAAAAAAAAGTCAAACAAAGATTAAATGATAAAAGGAGGTGTACCTGTGTGAGTGTGTAGGTAGGCGTTTGTGTGCTTTTCTGTCTAAGAGCACAGGCCTTTGAGTGTGCCAAGCCCCTGTGTGTATATACTAGTAGGTGTGTACTTGTATATACTATAGGTATGCGAGTTGTAGTTTTTACCTGATTACCACCTTGTCCATGACACTGGTAAAGACTTGTTTTCACTCCAGCCAAGCCATTGGGGTTGGTGGCGTCCAGACACAAACCTGTTGACTTGTGTATTACCTTAGCAAACACAAGCATTTGTAAATGAAAAAATTCAATCAAAATCTTCATTTTCTTCTTCATTTTAGTTTTTAAACCAGACGTGCTTATTACCTGCATACGCTTTTCAAAGACTCGTATGAAATGATCCCCCATCATATAGAAACAAAATAGCATATAATCACAATAAGAAAGAATCCGACTATACTAAGTACATTCATTTTTAGATAAATGTGAATGTGTTCTTCAACTAAATGAAGATAACTTGGTAACCAAAACACGATGAAAAATCAGTACTTTTTGAGGTCAAACAGTGAGTCAACTTAGAAGAATAATTGTTACAAAAGGTGGAATTTGCCTATCAACTGATACAACTACATTGAGGCATTAATAGCATGAATAAAATCTTGGTAGGACATGTACAAAGATAGATAATAAGCACCTGACCGTAAGCCCTGGGCACCAGATCCGGAACGTAGAGTTCGGGGTAGACATTCCGGAGGTACCAGGTAAAGTTTCGGCAGCCGAGGTCGTGACGCAACTTCCGTTTTTCTGTCAGATCACCTGCCGACATCTAACAGAGACAGAAAGGCAGAACTTTTATGGAATATGCATAATGCAACATGATTCATACATGTTGCATTATTGCACAGGGACAGGTGTGTTTACCTGTGTGCGGATGATGTTCAGAACCAGGGACAGGTGTGTTTACCTGTGTGTGGATGGTGTTCAGCACCAAGGACAGGTGTGTTTACCTGTGTGTGGATGATGCATAGCTTAAGATACAGGTGTTTTAACCTTTGTGTTCATCTGTAGGGACAGGTATTTTTACCCATTTGTGAATCGTTTGTATCATCAAGAACAGGCGTGTTTGTCTTTGTGGAAATGATATGCAACACCAGAGTTTACATGCGTGTGGATGGTATTTAGTGCTTTGGACATAAAAGAACATTCTGCATACGTGTTTTGTGATAATTGTATCTTAGAATCATTTCCTGTTCATAAAGATAATGTCATAAGGGACTTCTCACCATTTTCGTCCGTTTTTGCCTCCTGTAGTAGATGTCCCTGTATTCGTCCATCCAAACTTCTGCCATGCGCATCGTGTTTTTGATGACAACGTTGACTCCTTCAGGTACGGTATAATTGTACGGCACACTGCCTCGGAACACGTGGCCGACATGTGAACAGGGTAGTATTTCCAGGCTACCGCCACACTGCCAGACCTAAAAAAAAAACACATGACTGACATGTGAACAAGACAAGGTCTATAGATAAAGAACACGTGACTGACATGTGAACAGAATTGGATTCCCTGACTGCCATACCACTGCCAGACCTTCGGATCACGTGGCTCCCATGTGAAAAGGGTAGGATTTTTTTTATGCTACCACCACACTGCCAGACCTACAGAACATGTGACTGACACGTGAACATTGCAGAATCTTTAAGCTTATTTCCACCATGCTGCCATGCCTACAGAGCATGTGACTGACACGTGAACATGACAGAATCTCCAAGCACACCGCCATTCTGCCAGACCTACAGAGCATGTGATTGACACGTGAACATGACAGAATCTTTAGACTGCCGCAACGCTGACACACCTATAGAACACGTGACTGAAACGTGAACAGGGCAGGTTCTTCAGGCTGCCGTCTCACTGCCCTATAGTTAAAGTTACCTTAGTCTAAATAGGCAAGATAAAATTTGGACAAAAAGATTTAGCATTTCTTTATAATATTGTATAAATATTACCATTAAAGATGTTGAGAAACAAATTCACCTTAAAGGATAAGTCCAGATTCTCTCCTCCCCATATCTCCATGTACGTGTCGTACGTTTTGATGTGTTCAAAATATTCTTTGTGAATAGAAAATATTCCTCCGGCTATTGTCGGCGTCCTAGGGAAAATAATTGAGAGTCAAAGACAATTCATAATCTACTACCTATGGAGATTACTTCCAGGCATTTTACGTGTCACCGGTACACATCACTCTTCATCGTTACTAATGAAGTAACAGAGCTAGTCAAAACTTTTAAATGAATAATTGTGAACACCGATCGAACATGACAAAGACCCATTCATCATTACGCAGAAGATACTAGTAACTAATGTATGTCACTTAAAACTACCGTATTTGATATCCGTAAAGGATAAGTCCAGATTCTCTTTCTAGTGTGTAATTTGAATTCTGTAGTATGTTTACCTGTCACCAATATCATTATACAAGCGATGTATAAATCGAATATTATGACAGCTATTCAATATCAACTATTATAGGGATAGTAATGAATTTTGTTATCAAATCTTGACGATAATTAAGCATCGGGTTTATTTCTTCACAAACATTTAATTTTTTCTAATAACATTCTTCACTTTTTTTCGTATCTTTTTCACACGACGCGAAGTTGAAAAATATGCTGCAATAACCTAATCGGATCGCTAGGGGACGTTCGCCTGTTCCACTCGTATTGAGGCACTTGGCTCCAACAGAAGTTCATGTTTGTCCAATAAAAGCCTCCCCTTGGCACACCTATAATCATAAAGAGTTACATGTTTTCACATACTTTAATATATATATAGCAAACGCAAAATACATTACTTGACTATACATTGACATAAACGCTCGCCTGTGTTAGCACATGGTAATGTGAAAAAAGTATTTTACGGTATCCAGAACAATTTTGATTTGAAAATTCAGTAAATCCATTGTTTCGTGTTTAAAGTTTTTCAGAATAGAACGAGTACCGCAACAAGATCCATGCAAAACAAATCGCCACTGCTTAACACATAGGTTACCTATGATAATCCAGGGAACTCTTTACAAAGACCAATGGGCAAGTTGTCAGTTTCATACATAAACAAAAAATATACTATTAGTAAATCTAGACGTACTGGTCAAATTGGTCCCTGACAAAGCTTTTTTTTTCTGTGTCAAATTCAATTCATTGAAGTCTCTTTTGTCCAAATAGGGCCTACTGCTATGGCATTTGTTCTATTTGCATACAAATCCAGAAAACTCACCTTCTGTGATATAAAAGTTATATTTGAACGTGCTCAAGTCAATATAGTCTAGAATTGGCGAAGCAACGATTGTATGGTCATGCGCAATACGCTCCAGCAAGGGCTCCATCCATCCCGGCATGCACTCGCAATGGGAGTCCAGGAAGGTTAGGACCTGGATTTGTGACGTCACAAACAATTAAAAAGGCACATCCAAAACACTATTTCACGATGTACATTGAGTCAGTTAACGTTGATTATACAGAAATTGAATTTTATAACGATAATAGGATCTAGAAAATATCGATATTCCACCTATCACCATTCCACCAATAACACTAACAGCGATCAATATGCAGAGTCGTCCTGAAATGTAACAAACTAGAAAGGTAACATTTGCAAAGCAAATGCATAATGTTTACCTTCGGATATGGTCTTCTCTGTTAATTCTTACTCAAACACATTCACATTCATGTATATGGTGACAGGAGTCAACTATGAAATTGCAACATTATGTAACCCAACACCAGTTACTATGGTGACAGACGTCAACAAAAGAGGCCATTGGCCAGGTCAGAGGTTAGTGTTTGGAACAGAAGAAGAAGAAGAAGAAGAAGAAGAAATGGAGCAAAAACAATATGTTTTCCTTCGGTAAACATAATTATACAATTCAAGTATCGCTCATTCACAGGTTTTAACAGCTGCCCTGCAATTCGATGTCGTCGACGGTTGGCGTATTCAACTGCTGTCAACGACTTTTGCGTGAAATTCATATTTAATTTCGATAAATTTTCTTCTTGAAAACGATTTTCTACATGCGATTACAACGACTAAAGTCCTCTTCAAAAAGATATTGTTTTTCGTATCATGATTGTTCCATCAACATATAAATACTGAAAACAACCCTAACCCTAACTACGGAAAGACTAAAGAAGGCGTTGAAAAAAAATCTGAATAATGTTTTTGTACCTGCCCCGTTGCATGCCGGGCCCCCAGCAGTCTGGCCCGAATCAGTCCCTCACGTCTTTTGGTCCGCAACAAACGAACCAAAGAACTGACCTGTGACAGCTCCACCTCCAGTTCTGACTTCAAATTCTCTGTAGAAACACAACATGAACGATAGTAAGAGATAATAAAGTCCCTAATGATGGTCTCTTAATGATTTTTAAAGTTCTAAAATGTTTTCCTATCATGTGTAAATGACGTCACTAGATTGAATTGTCATATCTTGGAACGCAGAAGATTATTAATTTTTTCACTTATCATGTAAAGTAAGTCCTTACCTTCATTATTGTCACCTTATTTTACTAAGCATCAATTAAGTTCTAGTAAATACAAAAAAATCACAATTATCTTGATCTTGGGTTGGTTTGGAGAAGAAAAAGAGGAAATAGAGCAAATACAATACCTTTTCCTTCTGAAATATAATAGTAATAATAATAATAATAGTAGTAATAAGACAGATAACATACTGTAGGAGCTGAAGTCGTCCACCAGTAAGACCTCCTGCAGCAGTTCTGCCGGTGAGTTCTCCAACACGCTGTACACCGTACGGAGAAGGGCGGACAGGGCCTCGTTGTGGAAGACGATGATTATACTTGTCGTCGGTAAAGGTTGGAAGTATTCCTTCTCCCTGCATCTGGCAATCAATCAATTAATAAAAATTAAGTAATCAATCTAAAATTTTATTTAGCAGCGCTAGCTTGGCCGGCCATGTTGTTTTTCTAGTTGACATTGACAATACAATAAACAAATAGGTAAATAAATGACAAAAATAAACCATTTAGTCCATGTTCATGCATATTTCAGAAGTGTATTGAATGTAGAATACTACACGGTGTATCCGTATCGCCCGAGGTTCCAGCCCGACCGCGGGTCGGATCGCCCGACGGCCGGTCGGCCCTAAAGCCGAGGAACTGGCCTCGGTAGGCCCTGGAGACAGCCTGACACCCAGACTAGCATTTCTCTACAATGTTGTGCCTGTTACTTACGATTGGTCCCTGTAGTCCTGTAGGGTCCTGTGTACGGAGATCATGTCACTGACGTACTGGTTGAAGGCATACTTCTTATAACCTTCTGCAACGAGTCTTATTTCTTGGTCTGTCTTGGGCACGAAGTCGACACCTGTGCCCAGTTCACCTGGGCGGCTCGTGTCCACGGGACCCGGGCGGGCTACGGCCGGCGTCCCGTTCACAAGCTTCCTCGGAATGTCATGCTTGAGGGAAGTAGATACAGCTTGTCAGTCATAAAAAGGGCCTGGAATATTCACATTTACATGGGCTAACGGTACAAACTATGATTGTAAACAATACTTCAGGTTATAACAGCTTTTGTCTTTAATAGTGCAACTTTTCATTAATTTTTGAGCCCCAGAATTGATGGAATTTAAAAGTCTGCTACTATTTTTCTAAGCCAGCCAAATGTTTCAAAATGCTAAAATCATTCCGGGGTCGGTTGGCTGGTTTGACCTTTGTAGCTTGTGTTGGCTGTAAACCTACAACTACCCCCGTACATTGCAAGCCTCTAACAAAAAAAATGTAAATGCTAGTTTCCAAATGTTACATTGATTACTTAGACATTCTTCCTTAAATCTACCACCATTCGGACGGTACGGTTCCATGAAATTCACAAACATATTTGATATCTTACATTAACTAACGTAGAGCGTAACCATATAAAATACAAATGTTACAAAACGCTGTTCGAGTAACGCTCACCGTATTAGCAAGGAGACCATATCGACCCATAACTAGACGTGGTCCACCTTCGTCTAAAGTCGTCACAGTAAACATGGTAAACAGGAAGACAAGCCAAAGTACAGATAGCAACACAAGGTAAAGAACAAACGTCTGTTGGAAAGGCAGCGGCCTTAGCTTTGGCAAATGTTTCTCAGTTTGTAAAGTAGGGGCCGCCATGACTGTGTGTGTGGCTACGTATTTTCTAATGTAACAACAGCCTGTATTGACGGATATTCAATTCTAGTTTGCCCTGAGGTGCCTTGTAACACATGTTAGGCCACAGTGATGTCATTGTATGGATGGCATCCGCACGCGAATTGATTTTCGCCTGTTTTTTTTTTTTTTCAAAAGAAAAAAAAAGGATCACCTGACCTGGACGCCATCCTCCGTAGTCCATGGACCATGGTAAGGCCACACCGATTTAATTTTATGGATGACTTGATGGATGTTTTGAGAAAAATATAAATTTGTTTCTTTTAGGGGTATAATTTTAGGACACTTCTTTAATAATTCAAATCAGTGACTATAAAGTAAAATATTCTACTTGAGCTACTCCGTTCCCGGGACCGGATATGGGCAATTTTTCCCCGTTTCTACCCGTTCGCACGTTGGACGGAAATGACATTAAATCGAGGAAAATAGAAACTTTGACAGATTTGAATTATTTAAACAGACACCTACTTTGCATGATTGGTAATCGACAGAAATGAAACGAATTATTTGCATAATCAAATAAAATATTTAAAATAGGTCAGTCGTAAACGTCAAAAATGACGAAGGTTTTTAATTGTTGATTTTAGTAGAATGTTACCATAATGTGTCTTGGCTTGAGTTGCATTTATTTCTCTGGGTTTCACAAAGCAGGAGTTATCGCAGAAGAGACTTAATGAACCTAGTTGCCTGTCTACAAACTGTGTACTATTAGAAAAAAATTCAACGGAATAGCGGAAATGGTGTTTTACTATCCTTCTTTTAATCATGATGGTGTTTTAATACGTCACAGCCATTTGCCAGATACGTATACAAAAAAAAAAACACAGCTTGGTTACTAGTATATTCATCCCATGTAGAAACGTATCAGATATTTACTAGGAACTGTTTCTAGGTGTATATTTCTGAGAAAAAACATCGTATCGAGACATATTATGTAAACATTGGAGAAGTTAATTGTCTGTGTCTCATTTATAAACATTCACACCTACACATAACCTTTGATAGCCCAAGATAAAACACACACACACACACATCAAACGTCATGAAAATATATCATAGCATTCTGACTTATTGTGCTTAACTTAACCGTATCTAGACTGGGCTTTTTTGGGGATCCCCCCCCCCCGAACTCATGAACTGTATATCGTATGATCACCAAATTTTGAGAGGATAGTTTGCTAGAAATTTGCAATCATAGCAACAATTCCAATATCATTTTGACGTAATATGACTCTAAATGACGTTAGTCATGTGATTTTATTGCCTAAATCATCTACACAGTCAGGTTATTCTCATAAAATTTGATGGTATACAACACATTTAACAAAAAGCGTTTTTGACAGAATATTAATTAAGGTCTACTAAAACATATGTTGCCCATTGCAACACCATTGACGTCATAAAATGACCTAATGTTCCAGACAACATTGTTTGAGCCACCTAAGAAATAGACAAAAGTGACGTCAGAGGTAACCCAGCACTTTTATATTGCAATATTATATTGAATCTCTAGAAAATTCTGTAGATAAAATATTGGATACAGAGCAGTACAACAGGAAAATGTTTACTTCTGGCCATGTTATGTAATGGCAAGTATACTCGTACAGTTTGTTAGACAATCATCCTTTCAGTTTACTTTTTTTTATACAAAAGTTAGCGGCAACTATGTTGATACAAGTCATTTACAGTCAGTAGTGTCAATAGAAAATACAGAATGACAGTGATTTGATGGCTACTAATATTCAGTCCCCACTCACAGACACAAGGCAACTGGGAAGACTGGCATTTGACAATTACTTTATCGCTTAAGGCTATGTAAAGCAATCTGAACTACAGACAAATCTACCCCGAAGAATCGCTACGTACTGTCATTACTGCTAGTACGTATTTTCTTTGTCGGAGGTAGGTTGTGCCTGTCTTTTCTCGTACGGAGCCTGACCGATCACACCATGCGGGGACGGCAGAACGACCATCCGCAGCATACATGTATACATGTAGCATGTAACACCGGTGGGTTTTCTTTAGTTTATAACGTCTCTTTTCATATTTGCACATTACATATTCATTTTTGTCAATTTTGCAGATTACATGTTTTTTTAGTTAATTCCATATTTGCACAAACGTTCAAAATGATTGTCACGTAACCATACTGTAAAGTTGTGTTCAATAAATTAACCCTATTCAGATCCTATGTAGTCCAATGATTACGAGATGTATGTCAAAAAGATTTATTTTAAAGATTCAAAGTTGAATATTTTACGGTAAAATAACTGTGTTGTGTTTGATATTTCATATATCAAATGGGTCATTTAGGGAGTATCTTTCTTTTAAAATAGGTCGACGTTTGATAGCAGATGTAAAAGCAAGCTTTTTTATCTATCTAAATTCTCAGAAAACTCTGAAGAAGTCAGCGACAGGATCAAATCCTTTACAAGGCTTTAAGAACAAATAATAAAAAAAGTAGACAATATTATTATATAAACAATAACTGACATATTGTGAGAAGTAATAATAACAAAGTATATCAATATGAAATGACAAAAATAACGACCTACGAGAAATAATGGTAAGAAAAACAAATAACAGTAATGTTTCAAAAGTGCTTTCTGGATTTATTGAACTAGTGTTTAGTTGTCACGTAATAACCTTGCTGGATCACATTGTTGCATAAATTAACCCAAGTCAGACCCTATTTAGTCCGCTTTATTTTGTTTCTAAGTTGTATCTTTAAAAACATGTATTTTGAAGAAAAAAACACACACCAAGATTGACGATCCAAGATGGCGGATAGATTGAATATGCAAGGCTTTGCTTATGACGTTGCTTTGGCCATTGGCAACCAAATTCAATTCTCGGCAGACTTTAATATTCTACCACTGACATTTTGTTGGAATTTTGCTGTGTCACTTTGTTTGACGTAATACCTCCAGGATACAGACAGATTAATCTCCAAGCACATCTTTTGGTGGTATCAAATTGTCATGACAGTAAATGACGTTTTTTGTCGTTTCCAGTTTATTTAAAAAAACTGATACATTTTTACTCATTCTGCCTTTGACGTAAGATAACGATTCTATATGTTTTGTCAGGTACTACACCCATGCAGCGGCCAAAGACCTACTGTAAGAAATGTGCGGATTCCATTGCGAATACACTCAACCCGTTGTATGGTGAATGTTTAAGTCTTTGTTTCGTTAGAAATTCCTGAGAATAATTATAATCTAATTGTTATAATTTATTCCTTCACTGATATGAGTAGAGGATTGCATTCACCAAGTTATCTGACCTGGGTGTTTCATACTTAAGCTTCTATGGCCGATATGTTTTCTTTATAAAGCAAAATTCATATTTACCAACGGCAGAAAAATGTTATATTTCCGGTGCAGTTTGTCCTTTAGTGTTTGTGTGTAGCATGTGTATCTGTGTAGATTGTATAATTGCCCTTTGGCGTAACAGCCAGTAATGTTTCCAGCACTTTTACACCCCAGCTTGAATAGAGTTAAACATTGAAAAAATTCCCCTACAAAATCTTTCAGTGACCATTATCGAATACATATCACCTGCCTTCTAGATATCATCATTAACCACTTACCACTTGCGGCACATGACGATTACAGCGTCGCAGCCAATATGAAATTGGAACTTACATTTTTTCATTACAATCTTTAAAGACGAAACCAGATGGTGCGTTACGCCGAAAGGCGGTTATACCGGCTATACTGATACAGATACAGATGACGTCAAACTCAAGCTCATGGCTTATGTCGGTGTCGCCACGTAAACAAATATGTAAACTAGAATCGTTTTACGGCATTTCTCTATGTGATAGATTTAATGTATTATGATTATTCTTCTTCCGATGGGCTCTCTAATAAACCTTCCCCTCTTCAATGTTGAAACATTTATCAAAACCAGATCCCTATGAGAGGGATGCTGACAACAAGGCTTATGGTTGGCAGACTACGTCAAGCCAAGTAAAGATGCTGTGGGTTGCATTATCAGCGGTCTTTTTGATGGTCGTTGGGAACACCATACTACTGACATACTTTGCAGGTTAGACTTACCAGTTATGCTTAGGTCACAAAACACAGAAAGATTCTTATAATAATCATTGGCACTATTTCTATTCATTTTTCATATGAATTGATCATTTATTTAATACAAACAGCCCGGCCGGGCCCCAGTTTGGAAATGTGACATAAGCATAACTGATTGTGATGTTTGAATTACATGTATTGGGATTTTCAAGCACCATCGCTAACAGAAAATCGCAGTTGTGTGATTTTCCTCTTTCTATTAATGGTGTTTAAGTTAAAGTGGGAGAGATGGAGCCGGCTGGGTCTACCGGACCACCCGGACCTCGAGGACCCATGGGGCAAGCTGGGTTTACCGGACCACCCAGACCTCCAGAAGGACGTGGGTCTGCAGAACTAAAGGAATCCGAAGGGGTGGATGTCGCACCAGGACAAGGTATATATAAGTATGCCTTGAATAAAAGTAAGCCGCTTACTCCACATTGTGACCAATCAGCCTAGAGCATTGTAGAACTCAATCAAATTAACATTATATACATCAGCACATTTCTGACAACCCATACTCATACATGGCGAAGGTATGAGGTCATCGACCTCTTTTTAAATATATATATAT